GTCTCCTATTTTAGCTTCCATAATTCTCAATTGATCAGTCAATTGTTCATCTTTCAGTATTTTATCATTCTATTCTAAAGCTGTAGTTTTTTTTTCCCTTGATTTTTCTTCAATATCTTTTAATTTTGTCAGAATTTTTGTTAATTTGGTTAGTTATAGCTTCAAGTTGTGTTACAAAACAATTTTTCAGTAAGTCTGATCTAATATAATGTTCAGTTTGACTAGAAGAACTTTGTATTGATTCTTCACATCTTGATGAATGGTCTTGTTTTTTTGTTTGTAGACTTGCTTATTGGTAAGAAAAAAACTTGATGGTTCTTTTTCTGTTCCCTTTTTTTTTCTTTTCTTGCAGGCATTTTTTCTGTAGATTAAGTTGTCATAATTTATAATTTTTTAGTAGATCTTTCTATTGAGATCAGATGATGAGAACCAAACAGGAGGTGAGAGCGAGAAGATTTAAAAAAAAAAAAATAAAAAAAAAAAATGCAACAAACACTGCTTCACCTTTAATTCTTGGGTCTGACTCTTTACTTTCAACTGTAATAGCGTTTCCTTCCTTTTTTTCAGAGCTGAGGCTTGGGAAGCTTGAATAGCTTATTTAGTTCACCTTCCCTTAATTTATCAGTTTCAATCCTCTTTTCCCTTAACTTTATTTCTCTCTCTCCACTCTTTTTTTCTTTAGGGTTTAGTGCTATATCTGTAAATTAGACACTCATAATATCCCCCTTATTCACCTTCTGTTCCTTTTAATTTCTATCTTGAAGTTATCAAACTGTATCATTTGTGTACTTTTTTTGTTGTTGCAATATTTGCTGCAATCTTGCCAAACTAACAATGAACAGCCATTTTAGTTTGTATAAAACCGCTAATCTCTTGCATGTATTTATCTTTGAAGAGTAGCAGCAGACTTCCTGCTGGCTTTATGCTGTTAATCAACTCCACGCTAGTAGTTCACTTGTATGGTGAAAATGTTTGGACTTTCTATAGCTCTGCATGAAGCAATAACCAATCCAATTGGGGTCTCCAGCTCCCACTCCACACACTGCCGACCTACCCTCGTACAGACTCGTGCAGCCTGATTTCCTTCTTGTGCGCAGTCATTCCTTCGCCTAAGCTCCGCCTCCCCACCTCAGGATGCGTGCGTGCTCCTACATCATCACGCATCCTGCCGGACGATCAATCATCCTTCATGAGGAAAATGCCAGCTATTGATACATTTTTAAAATATATATTTTGAAACAGCATTTCTAAAAATCAGGACAAAATTTAGAAACTATTAAACAGTGTTTTTTAGAGATTGTATATGCGTAACAGGTTTTGGGGGTCAAAGTTAGAAAAAGTGTGTTTTTAAAAAAAATTATTTCATCATATTTTGTAATTTTTATATGATTTGATGAAAAAAATGGTAACTGCAGGAAAAAGTCTGCTAATACAACCCTCATAAGATAAAGAGAAAGAGTAGTTTAGACTTAAAATATGCAGATGGGACTCGATGACCTGAAAAAAAACAAATACAATAATCGTGCAGTATATCAACTGAGTATAAAAGCAAAATATTTAATAAACATGTGTAATTAAAAAAGGCATAAATACTGCTTACAAGATAGCAATGAGTGAGTTTTATGTGGGCAGAGAGGCACCGCTACTCACAAGCGCTTTTGGTCTGGGTGTAGAACAGAATCAGCACTAGTGATGTTCCTACTTGCTGTTAATGATGTCCAAGCTGGGTTAAGTTGTGCAGTACAGCTTCTCGGTGGTTAGTTGCCGTTGGTTGGTCTTCCGCTATCCGTCCGTGTTGTTAGTCTTTCAATACACCATTCGGAGTTCGTGGGGTTATAGGTGCCGTCCACCTCGATGACGTCAATGCGTGCTTACGTTTAAGAGTTTCGCCTTCCGGCTTCCTCAGAACGTAAGGAGTATGACCTTCATTGCAGTAAGGGAATATTTAAGGGCAATAACAGTTCCGCCCCTAGTCATTCTTATTGGTTCAATTCTGAAAGTCCCACCTTTATCTAAAAGTGCAATCGATCACATATATTACCTTGTATTCAATGTACAAGTGTATAATAATTTAACAACAATGTATAAAATTTCCCTAATAAGGGAATTTGAACAACCTTATAAACGCAGTCTTGTTGTTCTGCATAAAAAAAAAAAAATGATAAGCATTCTTGTGTATATTATATATAAAATGTTTAACACCGTGGCATACTTCATGAATATAATATAGAAGAAAAGTTTTAGAAAAATATAAAACATGAATACATATATCAGACAATGGATAATAAAAACATTGTAGTATGAATTATATAATAAAATGTACTAAACAAATGTAATTATACATAATTGTACACACATGGCAAAATTTCAAAAGTGGAAAAATCTATAGAACATGAATTAGTATATATCAAACAACAAGCAATAAGAGCACGACAATGCATGTTATACACATATGGCTTGACTGGGGGCGGTGGAGATGTTATATATGCCAGGCATTTATAGTAGGTTTTAAAAAAAAAAAAAAAGGATTAAAAAATGGAGTTTAACCCCTTAAGGACGGAGCCAAATGTACACGTTGTGAACAAAACAAAATGTAAACAAAACCTGGCATTTGCGCTACATGTCTGTCCAACCGTAATACACCTCTTTCATAGTAAATGCACCCACCCTTATTATATATCATTTTATTCAGGGGAAACAGGGCTTTCATTTAATATCAAATATTTAGCTATGAAACATAATTTAATATGAAAAAAATGGGAGAAAATAAGATTTTTTTTATTTTTTTAGTTCTACATGACATTTTAACTGTCAATGTCATAATACTGTTTGCTTTTACTGCAATAAAATACACATATTTGTATTCAGCAAAGTCTCACGTGTAAAACAGTACCCCCTATGTACAGGTTTTATGGCGTTTTGGGAAGTTACAGGGTCAAATATAGCACGTTACATTTGAAATTGAAATTCGCCAGATTGGTTACGTTGCCTTTGAGACTGTATAGTAGCCCAGGAATGAAATTTACACCCATAATGGCATACCATTTGCAATAGTAGACAACCCAAGGTATTGCAAATGGGGTATGTCCAGTCTTTTTTAGTAGCCATTTGGTCACAAACACTGGCCAAAGTTAGCGTTAGTATTTGTTGTGTGTGAAAAATGCAAAAAACGCCAATTTTGGCCAGTGTTTGTGACTAAGTGGCTACTAAAAAAGACTGGACATACCCTGTTTGCAATACCTTGGGTTGTCTACTATTGCAAATGGTATGCCATCATAGGGTAATTTTCATTCTTGGGCTACCATAGGGTCTCAAAGGCAACGTAACCAATCTGGCGAATTTTAATGTGAAAAAAATGAAACACAAGCCTTATATTTGACGCTGTAACTTTTGAAAACACCATAAAACCTGTACATGAGGGGTACTGTTGTACTCGGGAGACTTCGCTGAACACAAATATTTGTGTTTCAAAACAGTAAAAAGTATCATAGCAATAATATTGTCCGTTTAATGCTGTTTGTGCGTGAAAAATGCAAAAAACGTCACTTTTACTGGCGATATCATCGTTGTAATACATTTTACTGTTTTGAAACACTAATATTTGTGTTCAGCGAAGTCTCCGAGTAGAACAGTACCCCCCATGTACAGGTTTTATGGTGTCTCGGAAAGTTATAGGGTTAAATATAGTGCTAGCAAATTAAATTCCCTTTACTTTCGGCATGGGTTGTCATGCAGGTCCTGCTAATTGTAATTAATTAAGATACCTAATTATGTAAAAATATTACATAAATATATATGTAGAATCAATATATGTATATATATACGTATGTGTATATATATGTATATATCTATATAATTTTTTTAAATATTTTTATTTATATATAGTGATATATACGTATATATTTATGTGTATAAATATATATATTATTTCGTTCTATGTGTATTTTGATATATATATATATATATATTAATTTCACAATACAGTTAGAACGAAATAACACACATCTATATATTTTTTAATTATTTATTTTTAATTATTTTTGTAATTTTATTTTTTAACGTATTTACATTTTAATTTTTTTTATAATATATATAAATATATATATAACAATAATTATATATATATTTAATCAGTATCAGTCTACGTGTAATTTGATATTAATATATATATATAATTATATATATATTAATAGTAAAATACACCTAGACGGTGTACATGTGTGTATGTATATGTGTATATATATACTTTGATCATATATATAGAATATATATATATGATCTAAGTATATATAATTTTATTTTTTTACACTTTTAACTTATTTTACTTTTATTTTCAGCCAGCAGGGGGACCCCCTGTAATTACAGGCAGCCCCCCTGCTGGCAATACAGAAGCCAGCTATACCCGGCCATGTGATTGTGGGGTCCTCGCTAGGACCCCACTCTCACACGGCCGGGGGGCTTCCTGGAGGACGGTCGTGCCGCGGGGGGCTCCCTGGGAGTCCCCCCCACCGCGATCGCCGGCGTGGGACCGCCGGCGACCGGGTAAGTACAGAAAGACCGGAGGGCGTACTATTACGCCCGGCGGCGTTTAGAGCCGCCTATTAGAGGACGTAATAGTACGCCCTGCGGTCTTAAGGGGTTAAAAAAAAAAAAATGTATATATGGAAAAAATAAAGTATTATAAAAAAAATGACATAACTCTTGTTACGGTACCTACAGTAATAAATGTACAAACCGCCGCTTAGTGAATGCTCCCCGTTCGCAATAATGTGGTCTGGTAGCGTATGCAGTATAACCATGCGAACCGCCAGCCAGGGAACACTCCAACCTCCCGAACGGTACCTGTACGGCTCCTTCCCTTCACGAGCTCCAAATACACGAACTGCCAATATAAACCGAACACCAATATCTTCCAAGCGGCAAATAATTCCAATGAGCAGTCTCTAGTTGCCGGTAATAAAATCCCCCCCAATAACGAGACCAAGCTCCGCTTTGAGGGTAAAACACAAACTGAGTTTACTGTGGGCTACCTGCCCGTATTTATGCAGGTCTCCCACTTGGTGGACACTCCCCTAGGGGACCAAATGGGAGACTGGAATAGCAGAAGGACATGGGGACATTTCAGACATACATCCCCACAATATTCCCAGCATGCATCACAGTTTCCTCCCCTCTGCTCGGGAGATAATTGAGAAGTAATTCAATTATCTCCCAGGGCAGAGGCAAATCGCCATTTTAAATACAAGTCACAAAATACATAAAAATACATAACTTTATAACTGCCGAACGTATTACATTCGTATAACACATCCCCAGATAGCCTGGATCTGAGTGGATATTATTGGCGAATAGTGCTCAGATCCCACACACATAGTTCAATCCCCATGGAGTCAAAGTCTATTACAGTTCTTCGGTATGCGATTGACTCCATGGGAAGGCTATCTGGGGTAAGTCCATTCGTGCCTTTAACCCTCTCGAACGGCCGGTGTTCGCATACTTCTGTCGATTGAGAAGGGAGGTCGACGGCTTCAGCAGTGTTCGGTTGAAAAAGTGTCAGTTTTTAGTTCCATGAAATAACCGAACACCGCTGGTCTTTCGCATTGTTAAAATGGCCGCCGCCTCGTGGTCGACATACGAACGACGACCACCCTGTATTCAGTTTTAATTGAGAAGTGTCTGTGGTTAACCGCAACGTTCTAATTGGGATCAATAGGTTAACCAGCAGCACACTTCTCTTCTGGGTGGCAGTCAGTTCGGTAGTTCCGTTCGACAAAAAAATACATTCCCTTAAACAAGGCATACGAATGGGGAAATCATACAAACGGCAAACAGACGAACACAGCAATTCTAGTTCATACGGATGGGTCTGTCACAACTCTTTGTTCATGCCATATGAAATAAATGTATTCAATTAATATATTGTCTTCATCTCCGCCCATCCCATTTCCTGATTAAAATCACCTCCTCTCCAGTCGTGATGTATCTTTTGAATGCCTTTAAAGCTTAATAGAGAGGGGTCGCTGTTATGATGGTCCCTAAAGTGAAGTGAAACCTGGTGTTTCTCAATTTTTCTTTTGATATTGTATACATGCTCACCTATCCTCGTCCTCAACAGTCTGGTTGTTCTATGTAATTTAAGCCGCAAGGACAGGTGAGCATGTAGATTACATCTTTTGGTGTTGCACATTATGCAATCCCTGATTTTGTGTGTTTTCCAATTGGCTGAATTCAACAAGGTGCTGTTTACCTGAATGTGTTAAGTGGCAAGCCCTACATCGGCCACATTCCAAAAAAAAAACAAAATGATAATTGATTAAAAAGTTGCCCCTTTTCTGTGTTTCCTTATCCTCGCTAATAATTCCATCTGTTAGAACTCTTTTTAGAGTTGGTAGACCACTAAAATTTGGTGATGAATATAAAAAAAAATTTATTCCAACCTTTTCTTTTACTGATCCCATGCCATGGAAGCACTACAGTGAGAGGCATTATATCCATTGCCGTGGATATGGTTGAGAAATCAATAAGATTTGTGAAGATTGGGGTTCACCTAGTAATATACTGGAAAAAGTATCCAACGCTTTTCCCCCCAAGTCAATTATATTGGCCTAGACATTGCAATTTCCTTATCAATTCACTTTTTAGTGAATAAGATCCTTCATGTAGCACAGATAATTTCTAGATTAAGTTTCTAGAGACCCATTCATTTTATGAAACATAGGTCAAACTAAACTAATTGCATTCTATGAAGAAGTAGAACTATAGATCAGGGTTTTGCAGTGGATGTGATCTACTTGGATTTTGCCAAGGCATTTGATGCAGTTCCTCACAATAGGTTAGTATTCAAACTAAAAAAAATGGTCTAGATGAATATTCTTGTTCTTGGGTAGAAAATTGGCTTAAGGATAGAGTACAACAAGTTGTCAATAAAGGATCAGGAACACAAACATGTATTCCTGACCCTATAGTGTTAACACCACCATCTAGCCCCCCCTGGGCCCCTCAAAGTCAAGAATGCACAAGCAACTAACACCCTAAATCAAGCATTTCAAACTCGCAGCCCACAATGGACACCTTTGCAAGCCGTGAGTACATGCTTACTGTTAAAGCAGAGTAGGTACCTGCTCTCCCAACATTGCAGGTGCCTACTCTGCTAAAATTAACCCGGCCGGGAGGAGCTCAGTCTTCCTGCTCCTCACTCGCGCACGGCCTGTAGTGATGCCAGGTGCCGGAATATGATGTCATATTTCTGCACCTGACATCACTAAACTGAGTGCAAGAGGGAGCAGTGAGGAGCAGGAAGACTGAGCTCCAGAAAGAAGAGGGCCCCACACCAGCCCCCAAAAGGTAGGAAGCAATAAATTAAATGATTTGTGATTACGTGTGTCAGTGAGTGAGAGTGTGTCGGTCAGTGTTATGATGGCCGTGGCTGGACAGTCAAGGACCTGGAGGTGCACGGGGGCACGTAACGCCACATCTCGTGACGTCGATGTGCTCCACCTTCACAGGGTTTCAAGAAGTAGCGGGAGGATTCGCTTTGGCACAGGGTGCGATCGGCGCCATTTGGTTTATACCAGCCTGATTCCGGGGTCGCATACTGGCAGTGCCAATGTGAGTGGAATCTATTTGGCTAGAGGGGCGTGCTGGGATTTAGTATACGGGGAGGACTGGGATTTAGTAGAGAGGGTGCTATGATTTCATAGAGAGAGATGCAGTATTTTGGGGTATTTTTATGCTGTACTTTTCAAAATAAATCTAGAAAAAGTGCAAAGACGAGCTACAAAATTTATAAAAGGAATGGAGCATTTTAGTTACAAAGAAAGGTTAAAAAATGTATATCTCTTTAGTTTGGAAAAAAGGCGCCTCAGAGGGGATATGATAACATTATACAAATATATTCAGGGCCAGTACAAGCCATTATCTGGAAATCTATTCATAAACAGGGCTATACACAGGACACGAGGTCACACATGTGCTGGAAGAAAGGAGATTTAATCTAAAGCAAACAAAAGTTGTTTTTTTTTTATAGTAAAAACGATAAAGATATGGAATTCTCTGCCTGAAGAGGTGGTTTTATCAGAGTCCGTACAGATGTTTAAACAGTAATTGGATAAATACTTCCAAAAACATAACATACAGGGATATAATTTCTAATTAGTGGGCTAATAAGCTGCTTGATCCAAGGAAATATCGGACTGCCATTTTGGGGTCAAGAAGGAATTTTTTTCCTAGTTTGTTGTAAAATTGGAAGCGCTTCAGACTGGGTTTTTTGCCTTCTTTTGGATCAAAAGCAAAAACATAAGAGGACGGCTGAACTTGATGGACGCAAGTCTCTTTTCAGCTATGTAACTATGTAATAATAATAAAAAAAAATCCATGCACTCTGCCAGGGGAACTTTTCTCACTGTAGTAGTACCAATGAATATAGGATCAAATAGCGGATTTATTAGCCAACTCTGCTTTAGCCACAACTTGGCTATTTTGCACTCAGTTTCACCAGATTCTAGAGATTAAATGGTCTCTAAATAATTCTAAAACATGCACAACAGCATAGAGAAGATTTTTTTTAATTTATTTACACAATACAGAACATGGTCATTCCCAAAGCTTGCACTTTCAGTTGAAAAGAACAGAAAATCATTTTGTGACCAGGTATTAAAAAGACATAGCCAGGAAGAAATGTTAAAATGACAAAGAACTGATCACAAATCTGACAAATTGCCATAATATCAACATGGTGCAATGCAAGTGTCCAAACTTATTTATTTTCTCTTTTGTTGACTTCTCATATCCTTCTTCATCCTTGCATCCACAACCTTGAATTGACCCTTGACTCCAGCTGGCCGCCTAACTTTGCGCCCAGCCCCTTTCTTAGTTACCACATACGTAACCTGGCGCTTTTCTTTTCCAAGTCCAGCCTTTTTATATACACTGTGGGTACATAAATAAGGAACCATTTATTGCCAAGTACACAGAACACACAGGGAATTAATAGGTTTGTAACTCTGAATATTACATGTAAAATATTTGCCTGATTTTCTTTTTAGGGCAGAAAATTTCTATGTATTTTACAGATGTTGGCCTGAAATAGTTTTCTGCATTTTTTTTGGCACTCTCAGTTATAATTTTGGCAAAAATAAATAAATGCATGTGTTACAGCATACTGCATCTTAAAGAAACATTCCAGAGTTTAAAAATAAAAAAACAAAAAAAACCTTTAACCCTGAAAACATAAGGCGTCCCTACCCTCTTCCCCACATACGCAAACACAAAAAAACAAAAACCCCACCACATTAACACTTGCCTTTTTCTCACCGCTGCTCCACTTCACATCCAGGAGATTGTCGGTGATGACAATCTCTCTTCGTGTCAGGACAAGATTGGCAACTACTGCAAAGGTGCCAATATAATGCCTCCTAAAGGGAAGCATAAGACTAATGCTTCCCTGTGGAAAATCTCCAAGTGAATCGGCAAGCCCTCCTGGCAGCCAGGGGGCTGTTCCTAAATTAGTTCATGAAACAGTGCCTATTTGTACTGAAACTTTTAATGCGGAACAATCTCCACTTAGATTGTGGTGGCTGTGGAAGATAGTTCTATTTACATGAGACTGTCTCTTACGGCTGCTACCATCTGCTACCTAGACCTCTGCTTCTGGTGCTGCCACGAGAGTACAACACTGAGGTCTACAGAGAATGCGTTGAGATCATAGCCTCCATAGATCACATCTCACGATTAGTGATGTCCCGAACGGTTCGCTAAACTGTTCGCCGCGGACTCATCATTGAGTAAACTTTGACCCTGTACCTCACAGTCAGCAGACACATACCAGCCAATCAGCAGCAGACCCACCCTCCCACCTCCTGGACAGCATCCATTTTGAAGCTGCATTCTTAGTGAGCTGTCCAGGAGGTGGGAGAGTCTGGGAGGGAGGGTCTGCTGCTGATTGGCTGGAATGTGTCTGCTGACTGTGAGGTACAGGGTCAAAGTTTACTCAATGATGAGTCCGCGGCAAACCATTCGGGACATCACTACTCACGATAAATGAGAGGATGCCTGATTCCCACAACAGCTGCATGTATTTGAAAAAAAGTTGACAGCGATGCTCACAGTTTGGCAATTTCAGGTTTGCCCATAAGAGAAAGTAGTCACTTTTTGTCTTACGATCTCTTTGGTCCGTTTAGGAATTTCAAAAGCAGTTCCAGCAGTCAGAATGACCATTTTAGTTTTTAAAGATTATATCTTTGAAAATAAGAAGTGACAAAGCTGCTTTAAAATTTTAGAAAAATATAAAAATAAGTTCTGGACAACAAAAATAAATTTGTTTTAAACTGGCACTTTACATGTACTGAAAGTGTTTGTGTCACCAATGAAATTTCAATGAAAATCCTATCAAATATCTATCATAATATGTTTAGATGTATGAAAATTTGGACTGAGGAGGGGTAGGAATGTAAAAGATACTTCACCTGCGTAGCTGTGCAGCCTTTTCTCTCTCGGAGATGTCAACTGTGTTAACCACAGCTTCAGCCTTCTTCTTGGCTTGCTCCATTTTCTTAAGCATCTGTTTAAATTAAAAAACAAAAACATTTCCATCATCTACAAAGGAGACAAAGTGCAAATCGAAGGCGAAGAAAGGAAGATATTTGATAGAACACTAGCTTAATAGGAAAATATAGTGCCAGGAAAACAAACTAGTTTTCCTAGCACTATAGATTCCCCCTTTGTCAAAACCCTCTAATCCCCCCGTGGTGCAGAAGGGGTTAACAACGCCTTCTATCATTTAACTGGGTCCTGCTCCGCCCACGCTCCTCCCCCGCCGCCAGCTACTATTGGTGGAGACTTAATGTGCATGTACGGAAATGCTCGCATTAGGATCTCCCCGTAGAAAAGCATTATTCAATGCTTTCCCATGGGGATTCCGGCGACGCTGAAAGTCCTCATGCATAGCGTGAGGATGTCCAGCTTCGTTTAGACGACCAAAAGTCGTCTAAGCACCAGGAAATCCCTCTAGTGGCTGTCTGGGAGACAGCTGCTAGATGGAGTTAACACCAGCAGGTAATTATTACAGTTTTTATAAACTCTGTTATATGCTCATGGTTAAGGGTGATGTGTGTTTGCACCCAGACAACTTCCATGGGCTGAAGTGGTGTGGGTGCACAGTGTTCCTTTAAGGCTAGAGTGTAGAGAGGAGTTGTAAATGGAAAACTGAACAAAAGTGGTAAGCAAAGTGCCTCAGGATTGTCAGGGTATCTACACTGGCAGACATTTTGTGTTAAGATAGAAATTAAAAATGTATACTGTAAGTCACCATCAGAACAGAGATGACTCCATTTTGTAACATTCCCTTTTTTTCTCTCTATACTCAATTCAGCATTGAGCAGAGGAATGCATCTAATGTAAACATTGGCAGAGATAAGACTTGATGTTTGAAGCAGAAGGGGGGTTGAAAAAACAACAACTCAGACACAAATATACATATAACTATATATAATTATATATAAATAGAAATAGTTAACATTAGAATATTCATGGATATAATAACAATTAAGAAATGCCATTATTTACTAACGTTAGTGGACTATGTGTAATAGACATGTATAAAATTACTAAGGGCTATAAACCGTTTCACACAAGAAAAGCAGTCACAGAAGAAATTTTACAACACTAAAGTAATTAATTTACTTTTAAAATATTATGGATCTGATGATACAAAGTTACATTGTATTAAGAGGGTGAAACCAAGGACATGTAAAAATCTAATTTTATAGTCCAAAAGGAGACCGTCAGACTTTTGAAAAGCCTTTGAAGATTGACAGCTTTTGACAAATCGGTATCATAAAGATAGCCCAGATGATATCAAAACGTATCACGAAATTCAGTTAACCCATTATACAAAATAGTAAATGCACCCCCTGACAAGAACTTTCTGTGATGTAATTGCACCATCTACTGACCCAAATCTAGATGAGTCTGCAGGAAAGATACGCCCACCTTACTCTATTGGTCACTGTCAACTAGTGACGTATAGAGAAATTCTCCTTTAAAAATTAAGGACAAAGGAGAGAGAGGAACATTGGGCGTGGGACATCCAATGATTCGTTAATATATAAAATTTGTAATTCCATTCCTGCAGGTGGACCAATTAATTCTATATCACTTTTAACTTTAAAAATAGCCGGCAATTATCCAGATATATTAGCTTACGAAATTTAGAAACAGTAAATCTTAATTAGGAAGTCTAATCCTCTGCAAGGTAAAATCTGTTAGGATATTCTTGGTTTTTATTGGATGGAAGGCATGATTAATTGATCCGATTATTCCCCAGTGAGAATTGTAACCAGCAGTGAGAAAGTTAATTCAGTGAGTCAGACTGTCAGCAAGTTTTTATTGCTCTGTGCTGCTGTGATGATGGGAAGAGTTCTGTGTAAAGAAATTTCAAACTGATAGTGTTAAGGAATGTTTAGCAAAACATAAATCTTGCTGAAAACTGTATACATGTCAATATAAATGTTGCTAGATTTAGCTATCTGTAAATTGTGTTACACCATTGCCATTTTGTATAATTATTTTAAACTACTTAATTCACTGATTGTTATCACGCATGTAACATATTATTAGTCACAATAAATTATATTTTTATAATTAGTTCGTGATTAATGTGTGAAATATAAATCCTCTGATAAATGTACTCCAGGATCTATAAGGGATAAAAATCGCAGGTAACCCTTTGCTTTAAATTAATAGAATCTTGGAACAGTGCCAATATATACATTTGATATAATAAAAATTAAATTCATTTTTGATAATTTTTATGAAAATATTTTTTTAATTATCACCCCATAAATATCCTCACATGATTCTGTGCTAGGTCCACTTCACTTCAAATGGGCATTGAAAGTAATTTGTCTTTTTGCAAAAGACACAAAACTAGGTAATCAAATACCATCTGAACATGATACAACTTCTCTACAAAGTGATTTGGATAAATTGGGGGACTGGGCAGGCAAAGGGCAGATGAGATTTAATACAGTTAAATGTAAAGTCATGAATTTGTGGCACAGGCCACTTCTACATGAAAGAGGTAAAACATTAAAAGGGCTTGGGATATAGATCACAAACTAGGCAACAGTATGCAATGTTGGTCTGCTGTTGCAAAAGCTAGTAAGGTGCTTTCGTGAATAAAAAGGGGTATTGATTTACATGTTAAAAATATATTTTTGCCCCACCTTGAATATGCTGTGCACTTTAGGGCACCATCTTAAAGAAGGACATTGCAGAACTAGAAAAAGTGCAGAGACGAGCTACAAAATTAGTAAGTGGGCGGAAAACTTATGAGGAAATGCTAGAGAGAAAAATAATAATTTTTTTTTTTTTTTTAAAAGAAGAGGGCACCTGATATGATAGCATTATAGAAATATATATAATGTCAGTATCTAAACAACTATTTGCTAACCTGTTCATTAGCAGGAATATACAATAGACAATAGGTTACAAACAGACTGGAAGAGAGACTTCATTTAAAATAGAGGAAATGGTTCTTTACAGTAAGACTAAAGATGTGGAATTCTCTGCCTGAAAGAAGTTGTCTTACCAGATTCTACTTGCATATTTATGTAATATTTTTACATAATTGAGTAATTTTATTGAATTCAATTTGGGGGACTTGCCTAACAACCCAGGCCGAAAGTCCAGAGAATTTAATTTGCTAGCACTATATTTAACCGTGTAACTTTCCAAGACACCCTAAAACCTGTACATGGGTACTGTTTTACTCGGTAGACGTCGCTGAACACAAATATTAGTGTTTCAAAACAGTAAAACATATCACAACGATGATATTGTCAGTGAAAGTGAAGTTTTTTGCATTTTTCACACACACACGGCACTTTCATTGATGATATTGTTGTAATACGTTTTACCACTTAGTCACAAACACTAGCCAAAGTTAGCGTTCATAATTGTTTTTTGTATTTTTAACACAAACAAATAGAAATGCTAACTTTGGCCAGTGTTTGTGACTAAGTGGGTACTAAAAAAGACTGGACATACCCCATATTAAGTACCCTGGGTTGTGTACTAAAAAAAAAAAATGTACATGTGAGGTGTGATTCAGAGATTTATGACAGATAACAGTATTACAATATCGCTATAAATGTAAAAAAATATATAATTTTGAAACAGCAATGTCCTACTTGTACTTGTAGCCCTATAACATGCAAAAAAAAAAAAAACTAAGAACATGTTAACATTGGGTATTTCTAAACGCAGGACAAAATTTATAAACTATTTAGCACAGGTGTTTAACGGTTCGAAAAAGTTTATCATATTTTATAATTTATTTTATAGTAAATTATATATGATATGATGAAAATAGTATCTGTGGAAAGACCATTTAATGGCGAGAAAAGTGGTATAATGTGTGGGTAAAGTAAATGAGTAAGAGAAAAGTTACAGCTAAACAAAAACACAGCTGAAGTGTAAAAATTACCCTGGTCCTTAACTGTAAGAAAATTTAAAAGTGGTCTAGTCACTAAGGAGTTAATGAATAACAATGAAATTGCCTGTTCACTTTTATTCCTCATTTAGTGTACATCCTTATTTTATTTGTCAAGATGTTATGTGTCCCATAATGCCTTACCCGTCTCCTTTTTCTGGCTTTTGCTTCTGCCACTTTTTTGATTGGACGAGCATTGAGCTCTTGTTGCCTCTTGCGATATTCCTCCATCATCTGTCTGTTCACAGGAACCTGAATTATACAGTGCTTTTTTTCCTCAGTCACAAACCAGTCAGGAAGCTCATCCTCTTCTTCATTAAAGGCATATCTAATATTAGTTTTAAAAAAAATTATATATTGACTCCAGTATAAAGGAGAGGATTGAGTTACAGTTCAGATGACAGCTTTCATAAATAGAAAGTAGAGAGCTTTGAAATCCCCACTTGTTAAGCCTTCCAGTACAGTGTTAAATATATACAACAATTCAGACTCCATAGACCAATAAGCTACTTTCTAGCTTTAAATAGATTATGTAGTTTGCATGGGTATATGTACAAAAAGAAGGGAGTATCCTACTTTTTATCTGACTGGTTGCATTTGCAAATGCTAATTTTATGCATTGTCTAAAATGGATCAACTCCAGCCTTGGGTGCCCCTTTAAAAATTCAACATAAATTTAAATGAACTTTTCAATTTCTTGGTGCAAGAAAATGAAGAATTGCTTTACTCCTCTCTCTCTGCTCCCCCGTATCATGCTAAGCTTTCAACCAAAGGTAGGCCTCCCAGAATAAATACGATTTGCTAAATCAATTATGGGGATGTTGCCTAAGGATTACACAAAACACAAGGAAGCTGGTGTCAGTTATTGGTTGAGGGAAAAACATAGAAGCAAATACTCGTAAGCCACATTTTACTGTTTTATTGCGGTTTAGGGTGAAACTATATTCAGACACATATTGTACATTACTGCAATTGCACCCTTCTTTAAGATCACGAAATGTACATTTTTTTTTTTAAATTACATTTTGTCTATATATGGTCCCTTTCTTTTGAGTTCCTTTCATAAGGGAGTCTTTCTGGTAGGCGTATAGTGCAGAATTTTGCAAAACATAGATTATGCTATAAAGAAGTGAGAATGCAAAAAGTACAGCCTACTTTTCACCAACTAAGCATACAGCAAAATTTTAAACTGAACAAAAACTAACCTATTGAAGGAATTGTCAACTATATCCCTTGTAGATTTTTTTGATGTAGCAATGACTGTTCCAAGAGCAAGGCCTTCTGGGCTAAGGACACGAGATCGTTTCACTGCAAACAGACAGCAGAACAAGAAGATACAATAATATATACTGAAGATTAAAATAATTTCCATCACTTCAAAAATTGTGGAGAATAAAATAAAAATGCAGGAAACAGATAAGCCATATACCATAATCAACATATACCTCCCTAATATATCTCCAGTCTGTTATTTAAACAAGATACTACAAAAAGCAGAGGAAATCAAAACAAAGCTATATTGTAGCAGGAGATTTTAATTGCGCATTGGACATTTCTAAAGATACAAAACTAATAAAAAGTTTCTCGTAATAAAATAATTAAACAAGCTAAAGCATTAACAAAATCTCTCAGTTTTGATCTATATGATGTATGGCGGACACTACACCCATCATAGAGTACATTTGTCTTATTCAAGAATAGATATGATTTGAGGTAAAATCTCTCTGATGAATAGAGTCCTTAAAAGCGAAATTAAAGAAAATGTTTAGTCAGATCACAATATTGTCCTATTGGAATTTAAAAGCGCTCACACATTTAATAAAATACCCCCTTGGAGAATTAATGATTTATTGCTCAACAATAAAGAAAAAAAAACAAAAAAACGTAGAATTCATAAGCAAGGACATTTAATGCTTTTTGCAAAAAAAATGATCCAATGTAAACCTCTATACTGAATAATTGGTGCACCTACAAAATCAGTAATTCGTGTACACTTAAACCAAAATCAATTAGTAAAAAATACAGCAATATACATCCAAACGCATTTCACAGAAATGGCTTTATCAATGGAGTAAAAACCAGTACTCTATTGATAAAGCCATTTCGGTGAAACGCGTTTATGTATATTATTGCTGGGTTTTTTTTTACTAATTGATTTTGGTCACCTTCTATTGTGCAACTATCTTATTATCCTTTTACTATTTTTATTATTTTATACCTTATTTTTATTCTCCCTGGCAACCATTACTTTTTTCCTGTACTCCAAAGAATCCTAGGTGGGGGATCAATCCACCAATGCGGTCATCATAGAGCAGTTAGCCTGCTCTCTCTCTCTGAGTATATTCTCATTTTATCCTATTTAAAAAAAAAAAAAAATATATATATATTCTCTCTATCTTATTGAGAGCACTATCGCTGCCTTTTACTTCTTGTAGTTTTGGGTTCCAGACAGCCCCATCTTTAAGAACACTTACACAATTTCCTTTAAGTGGGGATTATACCGCTGTATGCTATACACACCAGAGCTGGCTTAAGCTCTAACAAATGTGAGTGTTACCCTATAACCACTGTGACTGCTTACCTATATATTATTGAGAGCACTATTGCTGCCTTTGTCATTTTGGGTCTCGACATCCCTCAAGTCCCAGAACACCCGCATTATATCAGTCAGTGGGGGATCATACCGCTGTATGCTATACACACCAAAGCTGGCCTAAGCTCCACCACATGTGAGTGCAACCCTACTATTTTAATGCTATATCTATACTCTGAGATTTAACGCACTCTTCACTTCTTGTAGTCCCTTTCTGTATACTACGGTCAACGAGAAGTGAAGATCTGCACCCTCCTAGCCTCAAGAGAATGCACTTGATCCAAAAGTACCCTTAAAAAGAAAATAATATATATATATTTTTTTCAATATTCACTCAAAGTTTGTGGCGCTGCCCTACCATACCTTTGTGACTACCCCTAAGGGTTTTTGAGGGACCCTTACCCTGGGCTACTACCATCCTGGTTTGGTTACTCAGCGTAGACCATTTTTGTTTCTCTCCAATTATCTAAAACACCAGGACCAGATGTGCTTCATTTGTGCCGAGGGTAGTGCTAGGTGGGGCGGGATGCTCCCATGCGGAGTTGGCATCTGTCCATGCCCGTGATTTCTTTGCTGCAGCTAGGCTGTCAGCTCTGCTCTTCTTGCCCCTGGTGTCTCCCCTTCCTGTATCGTCTTTCCCTGCTGGGGTCCGACCCATTTCTGGAGTATTGCCTGTGGAGGAGGTTGGTATTTGCAGTTCGTGGTACAGAGTCTCTTGGTTTTCCTCCGAGAAAGTGAGTGTTTTATCCATAAGAGATATTTCAAGTGTTCCCCCCCGGAGTCCATCTGTACCTGATGAAGTGGTCTCTGAGTTTTTTGGCAACTGGTGCCAGTTTTCTTCTCCCCACCAGGACTGTACATGGGAGGTCATTGTATATGGACACTGTACAGTTTTCAAAGGTAACGTTTCCCATTGACCTGGACTTGCAGTTTTCACCTCTATGTAATGGTATCTCTAGGGACCTCCGCCAGCGCCATCACTGATTTCCGCACCCGGTAGGAGGACATGATGAGTGGCGGGTCTGCGTCTCCAGCTAGGCCCATATGTGCCATAATTCTCTGGATGAACGGTAGTAAGTCACCCCCAGTAAGTAAATCTGGTCAATCCCTCCTGACTGTCACTTGACGCATGAAAAGCATTTGACAAAATCAGTTGTGATTTTATGAGTCGCTCTCTATTAAGCTTTGGAATCAAAGGATGGATACATCAAGCTATTATGTCTCTATACAGTCTCCCAACAGCCAGAACAGTGGGACTAAATGTTGGCTCTGATTGGTTCTCCTTGGGAAATGGAAGGAAACAGGGTTGCCCTCTTTCCCTTAAATTCAATATAAGAACAATGTAACCACTAGCTGCATAAATTAGAGATAATCCAAACATTAAAGGATTTCCATTGAGTCAAAGGGACATAAAGATTAGCTTATATGCAGACGATGTCCTAATCACGATCTCTGATCCAGTTAACTCCCATTTTTTTTTTGTGCTAAATAAGCGAGTATAACAGTGGCTAAACAGCACAAACCACCCCACACAACTGGTGTACCCACCATGTCACAAAGGGGGCCAAGGAGAAACACTCCTTCTTTGCAGAAAAACCGGCGAGTCTGAGGACGGCTGTGCAGACACAACAAGATAGCGACGGCAGTGGAGACACCAGGGACTTGTCTAGGCCGCAATCCCCACAGGACACTATGCATAAACAGGGGGAGCAGTTCCAGAAAATGCTGGACGACATGGCGGTTAAAATTCAAACCATAGTGCAGTCAGCAATTGCAGATCTCCGGCGAGATATCATTGATCTTGTTAACAGCACGGCCCACATGGAAAGCAAGATGGCGGATTACGCCGAAGCACATAACAGTTTCGAGGCAAAAATGGAAGAGATGGAAGAACGGCTGAAAAACAGGAACTGAAAAATATGGACCTGGAAAACAGATCCCGGCGTCAAAACCTGCAGGTAAGAGGGGTTCCTGAAGACATACAGGCCGCAGACCTAATAGCATATCTCACGGGTCTATTTCAGGCCTTAGCCCCCCGACATACCAACTGTTATGTTCCTAATGGACAGGACACACAGGGAGGCGAAGCCACAACACTTACGCACATCTACCAAAAGAGATGTGCTTATTAAATTACCTTAACGTTAAAGAGGCTCTTCTCCACTCCAAACGGCCGCAACATGACTTACCAGAGCAGTATAGGCCCATCCAAGTGTTTGCACATCTCTCCGCAGGAACACTTCGGTGCAGAAGGGCATTCAGGGACATAACGTCGGAGCTTTCCGATAAAGTTGCTGATTACAAGAGAAGGCAAGACATGTGGCCGCGGACGTGGAGGCAGGCACCTGCCTGCTGCGCAGCTGGGGCATTAATGCCGACTTCGGGAGAAAGTCCCAAAAGGCAGACAGAGCTCCAACCGGAATGGAAGACCGTCAGGCACTCCAAAGCCTCCAAGACAACAGGAAAATGAAGGCGACAAGTGTCACCCTCCCGACACACTTTGGTCCTAGCTCCGTAGGGGAGCACTGTGGACATTAATTCTACAACAAGGTCCCATTGAACTGTGCGGATCTGTGCAGTACGGACACTGATCCGGAGTGGGTAATATGCACTACTACTTTGTTTTTACTGATAGCCTACATTACAGGGAGTGCAGAATTATTAGGCAAGTTGTATTTTTGAGGATTAATTTTATTATTGAACAACAACCATGTTCTCAATTAACCCAAAAAACTCATTAATATCAAAGCTGAATATTTTTGGAAGTAGTTTTAAGTTTGTTTTTAGTTTTAGCTATGTTAGGGGGATATCTGTGTGTGCAGGTGACTATTACTGTGCATAATTATTAGGCAACTTAACAAAAAACAAATATATACCCATTTCAATTATTTATTATTACCAGTGAAACCAATATAACATCTCAACATTCACAAATATACATTTCTGACATTCAAAACAAAAACAAATCAGTGACCAATATAGCCACCTTTCTTTGCAAGGACACTCAAAAGCCTGCCATCCATGGATTCTGTCAGTGTTTTGATCTGTTCACCATCAACATTGCGTGCAGCAGCAACCACAGCCTCCCAGACACTGTTCAGAGAGGTGTACTGTTTTCCCTCCTTGTAAATCTCACATTTGATGATGGACCACAGGTTCTCAATGGGGTTCAGATCAGGTGAACAAGGAGGCCATGTCATTAGATTTTCTTCTTTTATACCCTTTCTTGCCAGCCACGCTGTGGAGTACTTGGACGCGTGTGATGGAGCATTGTCCTGCATGAAAATCATGTTTTTCTTGAAGGATGCAGACTTCTTCCTGTACCACTGCTTGAAGAAGGTGTCTTCCAGGAACTGGCAGTAGGACTGGGAGTTGAGCTTGACTCCATCCTCAACCCGAAAAGGCCCCACAAGCTCATCTTTGATGATACCAGCCCAAACCAGTACTCCACCTCCACCTTGCTGGCGTCTGAGTCGGACTGGAGCTCTCTGCCCTTTACCAATCCAGCCACGGGCCCATCCATCTGGCCCATCAAGACTCACTCTCATTTCATCAGTCCATAAAACCTTAGAAAAATCAGTCTTGAGATATTTCTTGGCCCAGTCTTGACGTTTCAGCTTGTGTGTCTTGTTCAGTGGTGGTCGTCTTTCAGCCTTTCTTACCTTGGCCATGTCTCTGAGTATTGCACACCTTGTGCTTTTGGGCACTCCAGTGATGTTGCAGCTCTGAAATATGGCCAAACTGGTGGCAAGTGGCATCGTGGCAGCTGCACGCTTGACTTTTCTCAGTTCATGGGCAGTTATTTTGCGCCTTGGTTTTTCCACACGCTTCTTGCGACCCTGTTGACTATTTTGAATGAAACGCTTGATTGTTCGATGATCACGCTTCAGAAGCTTTGCAATTTTAAGAGTGCTGCATCCCTCTGCAAGATATCTCACTATTTTTGACTTTTCTGAGCCTGTCAAGTCCTTCTTTTGACCCATTTTGCCAAAGGAAAGGAAGTTGCCTAATAATTATGCACACCTGATATAGGGTGTTGATGTCATTGGACCACACCCCTTCTCATTACAGAGATGCACATCACCTAATATGCTTAATTGGTAGTAGGCTTTCGAGCCTATACAGCTTGGCGTAAGACAACATGCATAAAGAGGATGATGTGCTCAAAATACTCATTTGCCTAATAATTCTGCACTCCCTGTATGTACAGGGTAAATGCTCATGTGGCTAAATGACAAATGCATGGGAAGCAGCACCAATTAGGGCGCTTTAACAGCAGGGGCAGTGAGGTGACGTCCCATCTGAGCCCACAGACAACAACAAACACGAATAGCTCACATAGTAAACAAGGAGGGACAAAAACTTCTACCTGCAAAGATATGCACGGAGTTCGCACAATACTACAGCCAGCTCTATAACCTTAAGATGACCCAAATACCTCAGCCGCAAGTATAGGGACCTAACCTGGCGGAGATTCCCATATCAAACCTGACCGCAACCCAAAAGCAAACCCTAGCAGCCCCCAGCACGGAGAACGAAATATTGGATTGCATTAACTCCCTACACAAAGGGAAGGCTCCATACCTCGACAGGTACACGAACGCATACTACACAAAATTCAAACACCTTTTAACCCCACACCGCATTTAACAACACGATCCTTACAGGGACTTTTCCCTCGGAATTCCTAGCAGCTAGGGTAATCACCCTCCCAAAACCAGGCAAAGCACCAACGCACTGCCAAAACTTCCGCCCAATATCATTACTGAATTCAGACACTAAATTATACGCCAAAATCCTGGCCACCCGACTTAAAACCATCCTCCACACAATCATTTCAGATGACCAGGTGGGCTTTGTACATGGGAGACAGGGGACAAATAAAACAAGGAAGGTGGTAGACATTTTACAAACAATCAACATGGACCGGACCCAGGGACTCAATCTCCCTCGACGCAGAGAAAGCATTTGACAGACTGAATTTGCTTTTTCTAGATGCAGTCCTTACGAAATTTGACTTTCCGCACGAATATCTGACAGCTATTAAAGGACCAATATAGTGCCAGGAAAACAAACTTTATTGGCTCTGCAGTGTCTTTGGGTCCCCCCCACCCTCTGGGTCCCACTCCCGCCAGGCTGAAGGGGGAAGAAGGGGTTAAATTCCTTTCTCCAGCGCCAGGCTCCCTCGGCGCTGGGGACTCTACCTCTTCCGACGTCATCCGCCGAATGCGCATGAGCAGCAGCGCATTCAGTCAGTCCATAGGAAAGCATTTCTCAATGCTTTCCTATGGACGGTGGAGTCTTCTCCCTGTGAAAATCACAGTGAGAAGCGTGGAAACGCCTGTCAAAGAGACAGCCCCTAGAGGCTGGATTAACCCTAATGTCAACATAGCAGTTTCTCTGAAACTGTTATGTTTACAGCTGCAGGATTAACCCTAGATGGACCTGGCACCCAGACCACTTCATTGATCTGAAGTGGTCTGGGTGCCTATAGTGGTCCTTTAAGGCCCTGTACAGCCTCCCAAATGCCTCGTATCAACATCAGGGTTCCAGTCTGACCCATTCACCATTTCCAATGGCACTTGACAGGGCTGCCACCTGTCGCCACTCTTTTACGTACTTGCTCTAGAACCGCTAGCACAAGCGATCAGACCCAACCCCAAAACACACAGCATTTTGATAGGGGGTCGCGAATACAAACTCAACCTGTTCGCATACGATGTCTTGCTAACATTATCCCAACCAACCATATCACTTCTCAACCTCCAAAAAGAACTGCAGAATTATAGCACACAATCCTATTATAAACTCAGTTGTTACAAAAACTCAAGCGGTGGGAATAGGTATTGAGGGGGACACCATGGAACGACTCCGCGGGGCGTTTAACTTTGACTGGAGACAAGATTACCTCACATTTCTAGGCATCAGACTGACAAAATCACAAAATTCTTTATTTACAATAAACGATCAGAAACTGCACACATTGATAGAAAACCCACTATAGACATGGGAGGGGAAATACCTGTCCTGTGTGGGCAGATGCGCAGCAATCAAAATGGTGGTATTACCAAAACTTCTGTACCTGTTCCTCACTACAAATTAATGTCCCTTCCAAGTTCCTTAAGGCCCTACAGACGACCTACATGAAATTTGGCTGGCAAAGTAGGAAGCCGAGGGTCCCCTGGAGGCTCCTGTCTCACACCGTAATGTGAGAGAATACCACAGGGCCACACAGTTAGCCAATGTTCTCGTGTGCCACTCCCAAATTCAGACCCCTCAACGGGTGGCTCTAGAGACACAGACTAGATGGGAAACACCTGCCACACTTTTTGTGGGCACCCAAAAGACCCCACACCCCCAAGATGTTACCGACCACCAGACTCATGCTTTCTGTATGGGACAAAAACAGATTTAGGGTGTGCTCTGCAACGAGTTGGTACCCTGCAACCCAGCTGAAAACCCTACACATACTGAACCCTTCATTCAATTTCAAGATATGGGCAGCACACGATGTGACTCACATACACCAACTCATCAGGTTGCACCAGACCTGATGAGTTACCAGATGAGCTTCCCAGACCTGAAGACGCAATTCCATCTCCCACACACGGCCCAATTCTCGTATCTCCAAATGAACCACACACTCAGGGGGGAGAAACGACAGAACAGGAGAGAGAACAAGATAGAACATATGACACAGTTCAAACACAAAAGTCTTAATATGCAACAGCAGAAAAATCTCTAATTTTGCTACTCCACGCTTATAGAAGAACCACAAGCACAGCTGTGGGTGTTTCAGAAAGAGTGGCACAAAGACCTAGGGAGGGACCTGACACCTCAAGAGTAGAGTAGGGCCTTCGCAGCGCACAGAGGCTTATAGTCTTGTGCCTCACATTTTGAGATCTACTATACAGGTGGTACCGGACACCCAATTAAATATCCAAAATGTACAAAACAACAGATAACAAATGCTGGAGATGCCAGGGGTCCCCCGGAGACACACTCCATATCTGGTGGACATGCCCACTAATAAAACCAATCTGGTCGGGGGTGGGAGAGCTAGTCACTAAAAGTACAGGGATGCAGGTGCCACTGTCTGTAGAAACGTACCTCCTGCACATCATGCCACATAACCTTTCGAAGGCCATTCGCAAACTGACGTTTCAAAATAATGGTAGCGGCGGCAACATTGCTAGCTAGAAACTGGAGATCAGTACTGATCCCATCCGCAGGGGAGCTGACAGACCTGGTTTCCACGAATGTAGACTATGAGAGATTCGCAGCAGTACACAGGCGTACGTGTGTATGAGCTGTAAGCCATAATCATGGCACTTATGACAAATCACAGCTTGAACTATCTTGCTTTGCATGTAATGCATCTCATATATTAGTTTCTCCTTTAACGTTGCATTACTGAAATATATGAACTTTTGCATGATATTCTAATTTTTCGAGTTTCACCTGTATATAATTAATATACTACTTCTCCCACCCACCTTAATTTATTTTACCTTTTCTTCTTTGTGCCAAATCTGAATATCTGTACTCTGTCATTTTGCTTTCCTATGTCTACAGTTTAGCCTTTAGTGTGAGGGACTCACTACTGCCCCGCGATAAACTTAACTGGGGTATATCTACAAACGGCTTGTAATAACTTGTAACAACCTTAGCAAGCCCTGCCCTGTTTTCCACAGCTAAACATTCTGTGGCTGTTCCATCACAGACTTCCAAATGCAACTCAATGAGAAGTCTTTACAGGGCAGGTGCTCAGTTATGCATAACTAAATAAAACAGAGGTTAATTAGGTGAACTAAAAAATGGGAAGGAGGAACAGAGGGATAAAAAATTTTTTTAAAAACAAAACCTGCAGAGTGACAGTGCTGCTGAGTGGTGGTGGTGGTTATGCTTCAAAAGTCACAGAATTGTGAGGATGTCCGCACTACTTTTAACGATTTTGTGGTGCCAGTATCTTGCATCATATAGCACCTGCACGAGGTAGATGACTGGGACTGGTGACATAGGATATTGGAAGCTAAAATCTAACAGTGGTGGGTTAATCGTTAACATATTTGAAGAGCTGTGAGTGAGAGGGCAAGTTGTAAGAAAGAATAAAACATTTACTATGCACAGACCTGGGCGTTCTATTGGAACTACTTCAAAGTCATCCGTCTCGTCCTCTTGCCCTTTTCTCTTCCCAAGCCTCTTTTTCATGGACTTAATGTCACTATAAGAGAAAACAAATGTAAAGATTCTCACTTTACTCAACTGCCACATTTCAGTCCATACACGTCGGAAAACATTTTCAGAACATGTTTTTTTCCCCCTTTTCTTTCATCTCACCTTTCATCCTCACTGCCGTCACTGTCTGATTCACTGAGATCCCCAGCTGCATTATCTACTGCTCCAGTCTCTATGGAGTTCTGTGGAAACTCTTTAGTTTCTTCTGAGTTATTTGTGGAATTCTGGACAGCAGCAATATCTTTGGTAGCTTGTTGTGGTTCCAGTTTCTTTTTTTCTTTGCTTTTTTTCTGTGGCTTATCTACTGTATAGGAGCAAGTGAGGAAGAATTAAAAGTAAACTATATTTCTCCATAGATGATATATACTCATATACAAATATTATATACACTGCTCAAAAAAATAAAGGGAACACAAAAATAACACATCCTAGATCTGAATGAATTAAATATTTTTCTGAAATACTTTGTTCTTTACATAGTTGAATGCTGACAACAAAATCACACAAAAATTAAAAAATGAAAATCTAATTTTTCAACCCATGGAGGTCTGGATTTGGAGTCACACTCAAAATTAAAGTGGAAAAACACACTACAGGCTGATCCAACTTTGATGTAAAGTCCTTAAAACAAGTCAAAATGAGGCTCAGTAGTGTATGTGGCCTCCACGTGCCTGTATTACCTCCCTACAACGCCTGTGCATGCTCCTGATGGGGTGGCGGACAGTCTCCTGAGGGTTCTCCTCCCAGACCTGGACTAAAATCTGCCATCTCCTGGACAGTCTGTGGTGCAACGTGACGTTGGTGGATGGAGCGAGACATGATGTCCCAGAAGTGCTCAATTGGATTCAGGTCTGGGGAACGGGCGGGCCAATGCCTTTGTCTTGCAGGAACTGCTGACACACTCCAGCCACATGAGGTCTAGCATTGTCTGGCATTAGGAGGAACCCAGGGCCAACCGCACCAGCATATGGACACACAAAGGGTCTGAGGATCTCCTATCTGTACCTAATGGCAGTCAGGCTATCTCTAGTGAGCACATGGAGGGCTGTGCGGCCCCCCAAAGAAATGCCACCCCACACCATTACTGACCCACTGCCAAACCGGTCACGTTGGAGGATGTTGCAGGCAGCAGAACCTTCTCCACAGCGTCTCCAGACTCTGTCACGTCTGTCACATGTACTCAGTGTGAACCTGCTTTCATCTGTGAAGAGCACAGGGCGCCAGTGGCGAATTTGCCAATCTTGGTGTTCTCTGGCAAATGTCAAACATCCTGCATGGTGTTGGGCTGTAAGCACAACCCCTACCTGTGGACGTCAGGCCCTCATAGAGTCTGTTTCTGACCGTTTGAGCAGACACTTGCACATTTGTGGCCTGCTGGAGGTCATTTTGCAGAGCTTTGGCAGTGCTCCTCCTGTTCCTCCATGCACAAAGGCAGAGGTAGCGGTCCTGCTGCTGAGATGTTGCCCTCCTACAGCCTCCTCCACATCTCCTGATGTACTGGCCTGTCTCCTGGTAGCGCCTCCATGCTCTGAACACTACGCTGAAAGACACAGCAAACCTTCTTGCCACAGCTCGCATTGATGTGCCATCCTGGATGAGCTGCACTACCTGAGCCACTTGTGTGGGTTGTAGACTCCGTCTCATGCTACCACTAGAGTGAAAGCACAACCAGCATTCAAAAGTGACCAAAACATCAGCCAGGAAGCTTAGGAACTGAGAAGTGGTCTGTGGTCACCACCTGCAGAACCACTCCTTTATTGGGGGTGTCTTGCTAATTGCCTATAATTTCCACATGTTGTCTATCCCATTTGCACAACAGCATGTGAAATTGATTGTCACGCAGTGTTGCTTCCTAAATGGACAGTTTGATTTCACAGAAGTATGATTGACTTGAAGTTACATTGTGTTGTTTAAGTGTTGCCTTTATTTTTTTGATCAGTAATAATATATATATAAAAAATAAATAAAAATTTTGTTAATTAAAATAATTTTAAAAGAAACTGGAATAAAAGTTCATTTTTATTGAAAATCCGTGAGTGCAGCCACATTACCTGATTTTATGGATACTCAAGCCCTGGTAATGCACCCGGTTTGGCAAGTTTGAAGCCTGAGTGCAAAGTACAGATAGATAGATAGATATTATATCTATATATCTATATATCTATATATATATATACACACACACACACACATACATATACACACAAAGTGTACTTTGGTTTTCACCTTTACTGTTTTCTTGTAGCAACTGTGTCTGCCCAATTTCCAAACCTTCGTCAATGTCCAAATCCAATGAAGAAAAAATTCCCTACAAGAGAAGGATGTGAAATAATTTGCTGTAGCAAGACAATTGCAAAATTCAAACCATTCCCCATAGCACATTCTATCCAGTCCAAAAATGCCAACATCTAACGCTACCAGAGAGCAACAGGAAATCAGAACCCCTTACTCAGACAGGGCACTAACATTTATATAATTTTTGACACTGCGTTTCATGAAACAAAAAAAAACCAACAAAAAAAAAAAACCAACCTATCCTATAAACAATACATTCACTGTACATACTCTTAGGTACAGTAAATTCCAAGTAGATAGATTTTATCTTAAACACTGAACCACACAAGTGCTGTACTTAAAAGATAGTATCCTGGAATATTTCAGATAGAATCAATGCTACAAAACAGCACAACCCAAAAAGGTCTAATGTAGAAATCAGTTATGACCCTAGGCCTTACCTTCCCAAACCACAGGTTTGTATCTCTCTGTTGACGTTCTGATTTTTCCTCCAAAGAAACAAGTAGAGGGTTCACTTCTTCTTTGTCATCAGGAGACTCATCAACAGAGGGAGGTTTCCTTGAAGTAGAGAAATTATTGAAGTGGAATAGTGAAAACAAACAAAATGTGAAAATATGTGAAAATTATAAGATTACCTTATAATCTTAGTTTCTTTTTCCAGCTCTCTTACTTCCTGAATGTCATCATCATCAAGGTCACTGGCAAGAGATACTTCATCTCCTTCCGAGCCCTCGTCTTCAGAGAGAAATATGTCTTCACTATTATGGGCTGGATCTGATATGAGAGAATCTGCAACGGACATGTCACCACGAGAAAGAGTCTGCAAAAGCTGCAAATGATTGTGAATTACAAGTACGGAAGAGCCTGGACCTGAAAATCTTACCAAAATATACAATATAACACAGTAAAAGCACAATCTGGGAACACAACAGTCTTTACTAAAAAGTTGAGACAGGAGCATTCCCGCACAATTAACTCCTCGTTAAACATCCACCCAATAGCTAAATTACATTGTTTGGCTAATAAGTACTAAAAGAAACGACAGCTATGGTGAAAGCAGAGATTAATTTATGAACCATTAACATATTCCACTTTGCTGAGAAGATTGCCCCATATTGTAACTGGCATAAGTGCATGCTTCCCTATTCTCCCGATTTTGGCAGGACAGTCAAACTTTAGTGTTCTTTCCTAACTTTCTGACTTCGTTCCCTGGTGTCCCGCTTTTGGGAACGGTCTCTAATAAGCACAGCACAAGGCCATCGTTGGACATGTTTCCATTACGTTCAGGGCAATAAGACCCTGCAGAGAGCACTGAAACAGTGCTCCCGGCAGAGCCTACCCTTAGAGGGCTGACTTAAATGATTGACATGCAGGCTGGCGTACGTTCATGCCATGCTGCCCTGCCTGTAATTTGGGCAGACCTGTTTGTTTACATGATTGCATCACTGGTCCGCCTCCTTTACCACCGTCCCACTGGCATCCTGATTCTCTGGAAGCCGGAGTTGGGAGGTATGCAAGTGTATGCCATAACAGGTGGCATTCATGTAGAAAAAGTCAGGGAAAACCATACAAAATAATTACATACATTCCAGTACTCACCTCGCTCTTGCCAATTGTACGCAGTGAAAACATGCCAGTTTCTCCCTCATCAGCAATGGAGACTCCTGGGAGATCCATTTTTAGTTCCACACGCTCCCTCTGACGGCGCTGAGCCTTTAGCAAACGTTTTTTCTTCCTTCAAGAGTGAAGACCATGGAAACATAGTACCTTTTGTCATAATACCTTTGTATGTAGAAATTACAAATCCTTTGCTACCAGACAGGTCTAAAAATTACTCGCCACTGGAAGCCTAAAGCATCCATGGCAATCTCAACAGGGGCGAATTTTCACTTGCCAATATTTAGTGGGCGAGTAGAAATTTTGAGCCCTACCATTACACTGTTACCAGTAGCAAACACAATAGACATAAATATCACAGACCTTCTAAGTGTTGCAAGCTCATCCGCTTTCAATTCTGCAAGTTTCTTGTCAAGTTCCTCCTCTTCATCTTCCGGTTTATTCTCGACTACCTTTTGTGGTGCTTCCTTTTCATCCTCCTCCTCACCTGAGCTAAGCCTAGAAGGAAGAAAAAAATAAATAAAAAGAGCACAATGCTAAAAGTAATAGGTCAACAGCTATGATAGAATAGATGCGTAGAAATGCAGACTGGTACAAAAGAAAGACACAAATTGTGTATTGCAGAAATCTGAAAAAGCAGGAGACAGTCAAGATACAGAGTGTAAAATGTATTTAAAGGAATGACCAGTAAAATCACTGCTGCTCTTACTCTATTTCTTTCTCTGATGCTTTACTTCCGTCTTTCAACTTCCTGGCAAGATATCTTCGTAACTTAGAACGCCAACTGAGGAGCGATCTGCAGAAAAGAAAATAGTGCTTTGTAATGAACATGTCTGAGTTAGTTCATCAGAGGATTAACAATAATATTCCTTTTTTTTTTTTTTTTAGTTACCTTAGCTCTTTGCGCCCCAATACTTTGATGTCTCGACAGCATTCACGGATGTCATCACTTGTAGCTGGATGTTTCTCTAAAACTGGATCATCCAGAGTAATCTAAACAAAAATAGTTGGAGCATAAAGACTTATTCTGAAAATAAATGACCGGTTTCTGTCAAGTCACACTTATTTTGTGACACTACACTGCATCATATATGTTTTCTATAGCAGTGTTTTTTTCGTATGAACAAAATAAAGCTCACCTCACTGGTCTTAGACAAGAAGTCGACTGGGTTCTCTGCTCTCAGAAAGTTAATCAAAGATGCTCGATGATAGAGTGTAAGGGAACCTTCAGCATAACCCTCTGCCTGAAAAGCAGAACAAAATCAGGCAACACAGTAACGAACTCACAAAGACCAAGAACTGCAAAACAGCTCATGAATAAATGTAATTGCTAAACAAAAAAAACAAAAAATATATATATACACCCGACATGTCTAACTTTATGTTATGTCCACAAACAAAAAAGAATGCAGACCTTTGGCTTCTTGTGAGAAACAAGCTGTGAGACCGTCTGTACTGGACCTTCCAAATCCTTAAAGGCAAATTTTGGATCAAAGAACCGGTTGTCTATTTTATCTGGAGCTAAAAATCCTGAAGTAAAAAAAAAAAAGAAAAATGTTAAAGGTAAAGAAGTGTAAAGGATAGAAAAGATGCACCATATTGAGAACAATAAATATTGCAACATCTAACATACCTTGACAAACCACAAATATTTCAGCACTCTCACTACGAGATGCCTGAGGCTTTGTTGAGCTCACTTTCTTGAAGAACTGTTGAAGGATCCAGAGTAGAGATTGATAATCAGAAGATCGGAATATTTTTGTGATGAACCAGCCACCCCTTGCGAGACAGTCACAGGCAAGTCGGAGTGCCATAAGTGACAAGTGTACTGAAACATTAAAATGAAGGGCATGATGACAAAATGTAATAATGGAAATAAAATACAAAAAATAAAAGAGGAAGAGTATTTTTGCATAAGTTTGTGTCTTTCTTTGAGGAATACCCACCTTGGGAGAATGCATCATGTATCCAGTTCGCTCCAACATTGGGTGCTCCATCGTTGAGAACCACATCTGCCTTCCATGTCTGTAATTGTTTCTTAACTGCCTGTAAGAAATAAAATATAGGTTTTATGTTAATGAGTATTGCAATGTAAATATCAATAAATACTAACCTGGAATTCATTTTGACATGAGAGAGCCACTTAAATCCAATATATGAATTCAACAAAACAGATTTCTATGAAATATATTCAATTCACTTTCAATCATGGAAAGGGAACTATTTCAGATATTTCAGATACCTGTTATGTCAAAGTTTTATGGTATCACATAGATACATTCTCAAATAGAGAATAAAACAATCTATTGCATTGTGCAATGGTAGCAATTTTTTAGGTTGCATTTTAGATAGGAAAAAATGTGTGTTATCTTGTCAAAAGATTGCAAGTAACTTTCAGCGCAAATATGCTAAATAAGATTTTATGAAAATAGCAGCTACAACACTAAATGTTTAATTCGCCCACAACCACATAGTAACGCAACAAATTTATATGTTCCACTATTTTTAAAAAAATTTGCATTTAAGGTAGAGTTTTTTTTGCGGATGTCTAAATGCCACAGAAAAAGAGTAATCAAAAAATACAAATATAGTTTATATATTGAGTGTTTGTAAGGCTAAGCATTGAGAGATTCCTCAAGAATAAGAATAGTCAGTTTGAGCATGGTGTGAGTAAGTATGTGTATGCATGCACCAGCTCTCATATTGAGATATATGGAAGCAAGCAGCCACAGTATCATTATTAGGAAGACAAAATAATAAAACAATGACTTTTTTTTTTTAATAAACACTTATCTTGTGTGCCTAACCTCTTGGAGAACAGATTTGGGAGTTACTCCTTTAACAGGTGGAGTTCTAAAGGATTCATCAAATACTTCTGTGCTAAGAGGGAGTCTCTTCAAACCCTGAACTCCAAAAAGTGGTTTAACAAGTTTAGACATTTGAAATTTTTTGGATTTTGTTCGCCTTTTATTTTTCTTCAGATTAACTACAGTTAATATTTTTATCATCTTATGTGAACAGATCAGTGAAGCTGTATACCATTTTCTACACATGAATTCTTTCTAGTTTTGTGGGTAAAACAGGATATAGGTTATATACAGAACACCAGATGTGTTAAAAAAAAACAAAAAACACACACTTAGGAGAGGAGTAATGGCATACTGTAAACCAAGTGAAAGGATGGCATAGCTGGGAGCTTCTCTAAAGAGGAAGTCAATTTGATGTTTATTTTGTGGGAGAAAGCATGACCATCTAGAAAATAGAATACCGTATATACTCGAGTATAAGCAGAGTTTTTCAGCACATTTTTTGTGCTGAAAAACCCCAACTCGGCTTATACTCGAGTCACTGTCTGTATTATGGCAACTTACATTGCTCTTGATAAAGGCGTTCTTACACGCCGAAACGCGCGTCGAGCATTATAGAATGCCGATGCATTCTTTCTGATTTTTGATTTTGTTTCTTTGTTGTTTTTTGACTCTTTACTCTATCCGTGTCAGGGTTAGCTTGGTCAGTTTGGGGGTTCAGCGAGAGGGATATCCTTGAGGCTGCCTTGAAGCAGCAGGTAGTGTACCTAGTCACCCTGTTGTATGGGAGACAGTTTAGTAAGTTCAGAGATATCTAGGTTGTGGATAGGGCAGTGTCTGGTGGGTTTTGGTTATATGGTAACATCCACATGGATGCCTTTCTATCTCTGGGCATATATATGTACATTGATATCTTCCTAACTAACCACCTGGCCTAATGGTCCATTTATACACCTATGTACTAGCCTGCATTAGCAACTACTCTGCTCCCTCCAGGGGCACTATCACCACCGAGGCTCCCTCTATATCGCTACCTATAATAACCCCACTGTACCTATTTCAGACCTCTGGCAGGATTGCTTAACCCAGACGGACATTATATCTGTAATTTTCTAGGGAACCTTTTTGGTCCCCAGTATCCAGTACTTTTCAGTGGTGTCCGTTTTAGCTAACATTTGTGAGTCTATATCTCACTTATTTATACTCGTTGTAAAGGGGGAATCCCCGTCTGGCCATTTTTAGAGCCAGTTAGATTTTATCACCACTGGTGTGTTTTCTGTTTTATTAAAGGTACTTATACCCATGTTCCTTTTCTCTTCTCCCCCTGTGTATCCTCCTCCTCACTATAAGTACTACTACTCTAGGGATATAGTTTAGTGAATGAACCGTTTCCCCCCTGCATACCTGTATGTTTGGTGGCCTTCTGGTTCATTCTCTCCCCTTCTCTTTTCTTACATTACATTTGGGGTTAAGCCCCCTATATCCCTTGTAACCTTTACAGAGCTTGGGGAGTTGGTTGTTTCCAACACCCCTCTCTTTCTGTTCCCTCTTGTTAAATATACAAATATAAATAATAATAAAAAATAATAATAAAAATAAAACAAAAAAAAATTAAAATATTAAATTTTTTTTAATAAAAATGCCCACCCCCCCACCAAGGCTCTGCAACACACACACACCCTGCATTCATCATATACACACACACACACACAATGTAAATATTCAATTAATATAATTTTTTTAGGATCTAATTTTATTTATAAATTTACCAGTAGCTGCTGCATTTCCCACCCTAGTCTTATACTCGAGTCAATATGTTTTCCCATTTTTTGGGGGTAAAATTAGGGGCCTCGGCTTATATTCGGGTCGGCTTATACTCGAGTATATACGGTAGTTCTAAACATCTAAAATAGAAGGTACCAGTGCAGGGTTTAAATTACAAACTATAAAATAGAAAAAAAAATATCAATAACTTGAATATGTTTGGATTTTTTCACATGCTGACAAATGCTCACCTGTCTGCAAGAGTCACTGGTTATATCATCCTGCAAGGTAACCACGTTGGGAATTGGCTTAATTGGAACAATATCCACTCCTGGCAAAAAAAAAATACTGCATAAGATGTTGCTTCTTTACCAAAACAAATCGTAAATAGGTTTAGTCACTCACCTATAATAAGACTTGAGACTGGCATAAACTTTGAAGCAACCTGGAGCCTGAAACAGAAAAAGTCCAGGCAAAAGTCAACACATTATGTTATGAATCCATTTTAGAGCAATGAAGTGATACACTGAGCGACAATTAAAACACTTGCTTACCAGCCCCCTGGAGCAGCACAAAGATCTACAAGTGCACGGGCTCTCTGTAGAAACTGAAATTTTCTGTTAAGTTGGATGAGTTTAAAGGCTGATCGGGAGCGGTATCCTAGGAAGTACAGGAAATAATTATTCAGTATATTTTAACTCCACTCCACATATACAGTATATTTCAGACATTGTTCTCTATATCTTTCTACCTAAACTTCTTCGTTGCCATTCCATTGATTATGCCATTTCTGTTGCTTAATTAAATCAGTGTTAATTTTGTCAACTAACAATTTTAGTCTACTAAAACAAACAATTCAGATGACTAAAACTAAATTAAAATTTGCTGCCAAAATTAACACTGCTACAGATAAAGTATGAAGCAATGGTGTACTTGTGTTCCATCACTTTATAGAGCAGGGCTTGACACATTTGCTTTGAATCTAGGAGCCAACTAAAAAAAGTTAGGAGCCGTTTTTTGTTTTTTTTAACTACCAAATATTTTCAAGGACAAAAATACAATTCTTGAAGGGACACTATAGTTAACAGAAACATGACAGCTTAATGCAGTGGTTTTGGTGTCTATAGCCTGTCCATGCAGGCTTTTACATTGCTGCCTGGTAACATCTCTAGTGGCAGTCACTCATACTTCCTTTAGAGGTGCTTCCTATCTCGGTGTGCAGCATCTATATTCAGCATCTCCTCACTCTGCGCTGAACATACGGAGTAAGGAGATGCTGATTCAATGCATCTCTATGAGGATATGCTGATTGGAGCTGCACTGCATTTTGCCACACATGACGTAACAGCCTCCCAAAGTTTTTCTACGATTGGCTGAAATCATCGGCGCAGTGTGAAAAAAAAACAAAAAAACAACACCTTTCCCATGCAATCAGAGGGGTGCGATAACCTAAAACGCACACTCACTGACAGAGCCACACATTTTCTCACAAATTATTATTTATTTTAAGTTAAGTCCAACCAACCTTAATACCTTTGGGAAAACTGGAATGGATCCTTTCCTTGGGATCCAGAGGTGCTGCAGAGATTCGGTAACTTTCCTGCTCTGCTCCCTAACGTACTGTTTAATGATGCCGGGGCCAAAATGACATTTTCCGGCTACCAGCTAGTGCGCGAGGGAGCAGAGCAAGAAGAGCAAAAAGATGACAGCTCCCTCGCAGCTCAACTCCATTCTGCTCACCTCCATTCTCCCTCAGCCGGCCACCCCAGCTGAACAGACTGAAAAAAACTAAACACTCAGACGCCACAAAAAATTCTTAGCTGCCATGGTGACCTGGGATTTGTCAAGCCCTGATGTAGAGTGCATTTAAAGCGGGCCACAAGTCCTTGCCAGATACAGTCTGGACGTCTTTAAAATGTATTGATGCTTTAACTTTAAATGCTACATGTTTTTAATAAAGAGATGCCTTTGAATTCTAAATACAAATTTCATCAAATATCAGAAATATCATTACTAAACATGCATTTGTGAAATACTACTAACTGGTCACATAAGTCTCTTGCTTACCTGTCTCTTTTGCCAAATGATAGAATTTGTCCTTCCGACTTTTCCCCACTTTTCCTTTCTTGCCCATCTTGAAAAATCAAATAAATACATAAATACATATTTATCACGGTTATTATTTATAGAGTGCCAACAAATTCCACAGTGCTGTACAATGGGTGGACTAACAGACACATTTTTAACCAGACAGGTTGAACACATAGGAACAGAGGGGTTGAGAGCCCTGCTCAATGAGCTTACATGCTAGAGGGAGTGGGGTATAGTGACACAAAAGGTATGGGTAGGGTAGAAAAGTATGTTGCTAGTATAGTATTCACTGAGGGTTTAGTGCAGGGGTTCTCAACCCAGTCCTCAGGACCCCCTACCAGTCCAGGATTTAGGGATTACCTGGGTGTGTCTCAGGTGTTTAGAAAAAGGGGAAAAAAACACCTTAGACTCTAAAGTGTTTTTTTTTTTCTAAACACCTTAGACACACCCAGGTAATCCCTAAACCCTGGACTGGTAGGGGGTCCTGAGGACTAACGTTGAGAACCCCTGGTTTAGTGTTTTGACAATTGCAGGAGAGGAATCATGGTGCAGGGAGGGAAAGCTGTTGACAGTTTAATTGATATTCTTTCCCAAAGAAATAAGTTTTCAAAGATTTTTTTTTTTTAAAGGAGTGGAAACTGGGTGATAATCTGAGGGGAAGGGAGTTCCATAGGAATAGTCCAGCCCTAGAGAAGTCTTTAAGGCGAGCATCAGAGGTAGGAGTATGAACAGAGGTTAGACATAGGTCTTTGGCAGAGCTTAGGCGGGACATATTTCTATATTAGTGGTAGGTCAGAGCAACATTGTGTAGAGATTTGTAAGCAAGTACCAGGATCTTATATTGAGCCTTATATCTTACAGGAAGCCAATGTAAGGACTGACAAAGGGGGGGAAGGCATGAGAGGTGCAGGAGGACAGGAAGATGAGCCTCGCAGCCGCATTCATTATAGACTGTAACAGGGCAAGTTTGAAACAAGTAAGACCACCGAGAAGCGGATTACAGTAGACAAGACGAGAGAGGACAGCAGCATGGCCAAGCACATTAGCTGTATCAGGAGTTAAATAGGGGCGGATGCGACAGGATTTGGCGATTGATTGGACATGAGGGGTGAAGAAGAGGTCGGAGTCAAAGAGAACACCTTGACAGCGTGCCTTTGAGGTAGAACTGATGCTAGTGCTATTGACTTGGAGGGAAAAGGTAGTAGCAACACTTGAGGGAGGGAGGGGCAGAAGTTCTGTTTTGGACAGGTTAAGTTTAAGAAACTGAGCAGCCCTCCAGTTGGAAATAGCAGAAAGGCAATCAGAGACGCATGTCATTTGCATAGAAATGATACTGAAGTCGAAAGAGTTGATGAGTTTACCTTGGGATGGCAGTATAGATTGAGAACAATAAAGAGGGATTGGGTGAGAAAAGGCAGAGCCAGGGAAAGAAACACTAAAAGAGTGCTGAAAGAGGTATGAAAAGCACCAGGAGAAAGCGGATTACGAAGGATGAAAAGAAGCTGTTGATGATCAACAGTGTTGGAATCACTTTGCTAACAATACATTTCACTATTTTCCAATGTAATATAGAATCATTTACAATTAACTGGTCCAGTAGCTGGCTGCATATCATTTGGATTCAAAGATGTATTTGCAGCCCTGGTCATAGTAAATTTTCTGAGAATTAAAAAACACTATGCACCTAAAAACACTACATGGTCTGGGTTTCATATCCCCCAACCCATTACAACCTATCAGCTGAAAACATTGCCATTCATTGCAGGAATTTCAATGTTTTTACTGCAGGGTTATTCAGCTTCTGCCAAAACAGTGAACCAAAAAAAAAAAAAAAATCCACATTTTCTACCAGGTTGTCTCAGATAGACCATCAGATTGACACAGAACAGCATATTGCTGCACATGCGCACTAGCTTCCCAATATGGGCATGCATTTGATTGACCAAGATCATCAGTCTTGATGACCTCAGCCAAAGAGGTGGTGCGGCACACCAGAGACAAATGTTGCAAGGGAGAAAAGGTAAGTGAATTCACAATTTTAACCCTGGCAACGGAGGCCCAGTTACTTAACCCGTTAAGGACACATGACATGTGTAATATGTCATGATTCCCTTTTATTCCAGAAGTTTGGTCCTTAAGGGGTTAAACAGTGGCTAGAGCACTATAGCATTAGGAATAAATATTTGTATTCCTAATGCTATAGTGTTCCTTATATGCATGTTTGTTTTAATCAGTGATTTTATTTTTGCATTTAAGTATTTTCAATGTCTTTAGGAACAGTCTAGCTGGTATTCTGTCATCCAGTTAACATTTGGAAAAATAGATTTCTTTTAACAGTATTTGCAAATTTCAGTTATTTCCTCAGATGAAAGTGTACTGTAGAAATGCTACAAAATTCTGCATGTTGGTCTCATTTTACCAACAGAAAGTCAAAATAGCCTAAATGTAAATAGCCTAAGCTATGGTTAAAATATGGCTACTTGGTCCTTAAAATTTAAATTTACTTTTAATTATACCTTTAATAAAAAACTATGCGACGGGGTAGGTGTTTCATCAAAGCACACCATTAGTAAGATGAAAGTGAACATTTACATAAAATTATTGAAGAAAAACTAATGCAGTTAAAATATGGTTTAATTTTCAGGAATTTAAAATGTCCCATCATAAAACATGTCCCTCCAAATAAAACTAGTGTTTTCATAAAACACTGGTTTTGGTTAGAGTAACTCTTGTTGTGGTTGTTCAACAACCTGCCCCATCCATTGAAAAAAAAAACTGAACAAACAAAAACACATAAAAGATAATTATTTTTCCAGCGCAGAGGCCAAATTCTCCCTGCAACCCTATCCTCCATTCCTTATGACGTTCCCCTTCCCAGATGGGGAGACAGGTCAGGCTGATGGGGAGGACATTGGCAGCACGGGAAGGGATGCAAGCTATTGGTTATCTGGCACCAGCAAGAAACCAAATTTGCACAGGATTCGCATTAGCTACCTGGAACTCTTGTTTTGTTCTAGCTATTGATTTCTTAATGATGCAGCCTGAGGTGAGGATGCACTAACAGAGGGCCAACACAATTACTTCCTCTAGAAACAAATACATCCTTCTCGTTTGAGAATTGTATCTGCAGTATTTTTTTAGTATTTGAATTATATTTCAGGATTTGCTTGTCTTCAGAATTCAATAACTACAATGAGCAGGACATACTTGAAAACGTGAAAAATCTCAATGTATCTTTCCTGGTAAAATATTTTATAAATTTGAAACGTTACAGTATTTCATAATAGTCTTTATGTTACACATTTTTTATAAATATACAAGCACCAAGTCATAAACATTATTTACCATTGTAAAACAACATTAAGAAGAAAAACTACCACAACAAGAGGACAGTCTTAAATTAGATGGACAAAGGTTTAAAAATAATATCAGGAAGTATTACTTTACTGAGAGGGTAGTGAAGGCATGGAATAGCCTTCCATCTGAAGTGGTAGAGGTTAACACAGTAAAAGGAGTTTAAGCATGCATGGGATAGGCATAAGGCTATCCTAACTATAAGATAAGGCTATGGACTAATGAAAGTATTTAGAAAATTGGCAGACTAGATGGGCCGAATGGTTCTTATCTGCCGTCACATTCTATGTTTCTATTCCATACATTTCATATTTTTTTTAGTTTTCTGCAAAAAAAAATAAATACATGATTTTACACAAGCTTTCCTTTCCCCCCCCCCCCTCCCCGTGACTTTCCAATGCTAGTTGAGAGCACCCAGAGGAATTGATTCCTGTCTGGAAGAAGTAGAGGTCAGAAGATTTAACAAATGCCTGTTCAATGGGTAGAGTACAAGACCTTACACTGAGGAATTGTGTAGGTGGCCTTCTGGTGGCAGCAGAGAATGGACATACAATGTAGGACAGCTCTACCCTGTTCCCATTATAATAGGCGACATGTGTACAGCAGTCCACTGTGTAGCTGCAGTTTAGTATTGACATGGTGCCAGGAATAGAGAAGTTATTCCCTCCCCCCCCAAAAGTAATGGAATGCTGAGACTTATATGTTCCTAACCCCAGCTGGAGTGAAGATTGATGGTGATCTAAAAAAATTTTAGCCTGCAAATTGTCTAGACGGGAAGCAAAAACTTAGTGAGCTGTACCAGTGAAAGAGCACTTAATAGCCCAATATGCAATCACTTCTGATGAATGTGCCCACAGCATTAAAAAAAATGGAAAGATGGGGTGGTCCACCTTACATGAGGTAAACCCTGTATAAGTACACACTACCCATAGCTGAAATTTAACTTGACTAGGTCATGCAGTTTGGAGATGGAAGTGGGCACCATGAATGACTGCTCTGCTGATGCACTTATGGGAAATGACCTGATAAAACGTACCTCAGATGTTACAGGACTTGAAAATGAGGTTGTGTCATCACAAGTTGAATGTTTTGCTGTTGGAGGCTAGTTTTCATAAATAACAGTTTTAGTATACTTGCCCCACCGAGCACAAGTGTTATTTGGGATACATGGTGACAGAATATGCGGACCTGTGTGCTGAGTTTACTCACATTGTCCTATAAATCAAACAAGCCTCTGTAAGAAGAAGAAAAAAAAAAAAAAAAAAAAAAGCACCCAGAGGAACAGATCCCTGCTGGAAGGTGTAGTCAGAATTGGTGATATCGGTCTGTTCAGTGGGTAGAGGATAAGACATTACCCTGAAGAATTGTGGTGGTGGGGCCAACAGCAAAGAGAAGTAGAACATAGGACAGATCTAAGTATTGCTTAAGAGTAATAATTGTTAAGCCACAGACTGCTACATGATGTAAGGTCTATGGATTTACCCAGATACATGCGGTAAATTTATCAGATTTCCTACAAAAGTAGTTAACAAAGGTTCCCTGATGACCTTGTCAGTATTCAAAGCAAAAGAGGCAAGTGTTGACAGCAAGCAGAGTGATTTATCACTTTTCATAAAAAGGAAGCCTGAAGCTACAATCATCGAACAATTAAAGCCTCCAGTTGCAAAGTATCATTTAAACATGTGCCAGATTCAGAATGACAAGCACAATTTGATTTTTGTAATTTCATTGTGTGAAAAAACAAAAATTGATAGGCTTTTTCATTAAAAAAAAGACTAACGGTATGGTTTCTGAATACTAGCAACTTGCTAGATAGGATAAATGTTGTGGGCGCTCCAGGGCCCCGGAGTATATATAGGCAGCTATCATTCTTACTAAGCCGAGTGTTATGCATACAGACGAAAAGATGAAACGTTGAACATAAAGATAACCATATAGCTTTCAATGCTCATGCCTTATCCGACAATACCTACCCAACGCCAATTTCGGAGAGACCTTCTTCATTCATATAAGTAATTTCTATACTAATTGAATGTACTTTGCCTGATTATGTTTTAATGTGCATCTCTTGAACAATTGGGATGTATACCATTACTCGATTGTCTTTTTGCTGTGACTCCATATGTCGGGTATTCTTCAATAAAAATAAAAATTATATATATATATATATATATATATATATATATATATATATATATATATATATATATATATATATATATATATATATATATAAAAATTTTTATTTTTATTGAAGAATACCCGACATATGGAGTCACAGCAAAAAGACAATATATATAGTGAAGGCATGGAATAGCCTTCCATCTGAAGTGGTAGAGGTTAACACAGTAAAGGAGTTTAAGCATGCGTGGGATAGGCATAAAGCTATCCTAACTATAAGATAAGGCTATGGACTAATGAAAGTATTTAGAAAATTGGCAGACTAGATGGGCCGAATGGTTCTTATCTGCCGTCACATTCTATGTTTCTATTCCATACATTTCATATTTTTTTCAGTTTTCTGCAAAAAATATAAATACATGATTTTCCTCAAGCTTTCCTTTTTTATACACATACACACATTACATACATACACACACGCGCACACACACACACCCCAATAGAGGTAGATCAGCACTCACGGATTTCCAAAAAGTAATTGAAAAGGTGATATTTTATTAATCCATATCTTAAAAGAGCTGCTTCAATGTTTCAGTCCTCGTCTGGGATTTTCTTCAGACGAGGACTGCAACATTGAAGCAGCTCTTTTAAGATATGGATTAATAACATTTCACCTTTTTAATTACTTCTTGGAAATCAGTGAGTGCTGATCTACCTCTATTGGTATGTAACATTTTCCGCTGGTTCCAAGCACCCGATCTTATTTTTTTTGAAGCCAGAGTGCAAGGATACTATTGACTGTATGTATATAAATAAATAGGATGGAGAGCAGGCAGATGGATACAACCTATGAAACAATGACCATCTTAAATAGTTTGGTTTCAGAAGAATTCACCATATCCCCTATATCTGACATTCTGAACACTTCGTGTAACATTATTTTATCATCATCTGTCATGGTTTCTTTAGTGTTTTTGCGTGTACATACACATCATATTTTGCTGAAATTATCTTAATCTTGCTCCATGGTAACAATAAAAAAAAACCTGCAATTTGTGTGTAGCTATTTCTCACAAATATAGGCGTATATCCCATAGCGGTTTAGCTGTGCCAGATTTATGGAAAGTTATAGATCTATTTATTATAGTGATTATTCTGCAAAGACACTTTGGGTGCAGGCTTCCTGATTTCAACTTCCTCACAATTCATATCAATTTGGATGGCACTGATAAAATGTGTGAGTGCTGCCCATGCACTCAGCAGTTTATGTTTGCAATTCAAAATTTGTATAGATCATTAAAAAGAAAAAAACTTTCTTTATCACATTGATGGCATAAGAGCTGGGCTTTGGGAGATAGAGCTCCCAAAGCCTCCTTGCACCACAACCACTAATAAAATATGGTTTATTATGGTTCTCAGTTGATCCTTTAACCTCCTCACTGCAAGGAATTACTCTGAGTGGTCACACGCAGTGCTTCTGGCATTCACAGGATAACACTGTCATCCTCTGCATTCTTGCCTTTCTGAGGTGAAATGGGAAAAAACAAGATTAAACATCTCTCATTACATTATAGCACACAGTACCTAATGACATCACATAATAAGGACATGCCAAATGGCGCATTTTAGTTTATGTATTTGTGTATGTGGAGGACACTGTTTACAATTGGCCCATATTCAACTTCCATCACCACCTTCAGTCGCTAGGGTGATTGAATGTTGTTTTGGCCAATCAGGACCTACTCATAGAGATGCATTGAATCAATGCATCTCTATAAGGAAAATTCAGCATCTCCGTACTTGAGTTGTTCTTTTTCAGTATTCCCTGTTACTTTGTTTTGGTTTGTTTGCAAAATTGTCACGGGTCTCCAATTTTACTGAAACCTCAGACAGTAAGACCAGAGCAGCACAACATAGCATTCACAGATATGTGCATATGAACAGTGTTTCACAAGTCTACGGTCATCTTTGACAACTGATGTGTTATTGTGGACCACAATGACTTATCCGAGTGGGCCAGTACAGGTCATTAGAATATAGAGTTAGCAGACCACCAGACCATTCAGAATATGACATACAGGGTTATTTACTGAAGTTGGAATTGTCAAGTAAATTTCAAATTAGAGGCCAGAGTAGCCAAACTGGATCAAAATAAAGTTTGTTTTTTACTTACTTCTCCTCCTGCAATGTCATGGAAAAGGCATGGTGTCTCCACAATGGTCCAATCTTACTCATAGAGGAACACTAGGGATCTGAGGTGCATTTGCGGTGAGTGTTACTAACACATTCAAGCTTCCCCTAGGAAAACATTGAATCAATGATATCCTATAGGGGCTTCCATGTCACATAACCAAGTTTTACTCTGCCAGAAGTGCCTCTTATGTCTGTCAAGAATACAAAGTATTCCTGGCACTTATAGTGTCTCTTTCAGGCCAGAGTAGCTCATCCGAAAGCATAACAGATTTTTTTTCCAGTTATGCTATTAATTTTATGACCTTAAATTTGAAAGTCACCCTGAATTCAAACAGTGGTGAATAACCCTGCTAAAGACTCCTCTGCCAACTTAAAACAAAACTACTTGTAAATGTATTTTGCGCTGCTCGTCTGACTTCGTGTTTCTACCTGGTTTAATTTAAAGAATCTCTATATTCATTTGTAACTCAAATTGTAAACCAATATGGCAGTTCTAAGGTTGGGTAGACATACACATCGTTATGAGAAAGTGCTAAACATCATGCAATTCGGCCTGAGCTGAATGATATTTAACACTTTCTCATAACGATGTGTGGCCATTTCACACGTTATTAAAATATGTTGGGAATGCGTTGTTATTTGCATCTGCGAAATACAAGAGTATCTGCAGTTGTCGAAATATAATGCCGTTTAATGGATCAAACATTAATTAAGCAGAAGTGATAAAACTAAACGGACTTTCGCAACTTTAAAGCAAGAGCTGTACTTACCTCACTGCTGATAACTATTTCACGTGGATGTTCTATCGACGCGCAGTAATGGAGGCTTTTCCAGGAAGTCGCTTTCGAAATACGTCATTACTATTGAACACTCAAAATTTCCCTACCCCGTGTAATTTCCCTACTCTCGTCACTTCCGGTGATGCGGCCGAACCGGAAGTGATGTTGGGTGGGGGGGGGTGTGCGCCTCCGCGCAGGCGCACACCACCTAGGTAGGGATTTTTTTCACAGGGAGGTGAGGAAAATAAAGGCACAGTGCGCACGCGCGTCACTGTACTCCCGTCGGAGGTACAGCGCGTGTGCGCACTTGTGGCCAGGGAGCTCTTCACACACCGCGCGTGCGCAGTATAGGGGTAGGGAAATTTGATGGCCATTAACCCTGTGAAATCTCCCTACCGCTATACTGCGCACGCGCGGACTCTGATAGCCTGATTAAAGCCTTTTCTGGGAACAGGTCAGTCTCTCCCTGCTCCCAACACTCTCAGCCATCCGAGGGGACGGTGTAGTTTATTAGGGGGGTTTCAGTGCATTATATTTGGGGGGTCTGCGCAGTATATGGGGGGTCGGTGCTGTATATGGGCGGCAGTATATGGGGGGTCTGTGCTGTATATGGGGGTCTGCGCAGTATATGGGGGGGTCTGCACAGTATATTGTGGGGGGTATGCGCTGTATATGGGGGGGTCTGCACAGTATATGGTGTGGTCTGCGCTGTATATTGGGGTCTGCGCTGTATATGGTAGGGTCTGCGCAGTATATTGTGGGGGGGTCTGCGCAGTAAATGGGGGAGCTGTCTGCGCTGTATATGGGGGGTCTGTGCAGTATATTGGGGGCTGTCTACGCAGTATATGGGGGGTCTGCGCAGTATATTGGGGGGTCTGTGAAGTATATTGGGGTGGCCTGTGTGCTAGATGTGGGGGGCAGTATGTTAGATGGAGGGGCTGTTCGTTACATGTGGGGGGGCAGTGTATTATATTTGGGGACTGTGCGTTAGATGGGGAGCTGTACAGTACGTATGGCCTGTGTGTTAGATGTGTACAACCCTAGTTTCACAGAAAAATATTTATTTCCTAGATATCATATGCCATGGCATGCTTTTTGCTATGAAACCGCAGCCGTCTAGTCACTTGCCAGAGAAGGATGAGAAACTGCACCCCAGCGAGAGGGACTGCCCCACATCTGCAACCAAATCCGTTGGTCACCGAATTCAGTAATCTCCGTCTCTTTGTGCATCGTGTATGTATGGTACTCCCAATTCTTATATTTAATCCGGTGTGTCTCCCACAATCTTTGTGTCTGTCTGCTATATGTATGTGGCACGCAAGTCTATTATGCCAGCTACTCTAACCAGTTTATTTTTGTGTGTGTCAAAGCTCTGACAAGCATGTTCTCATATGGGACACGAAGTACATGAAGAGGAATGAAGAAGCCCATGTCTGATGCTCGTCTCCAGGGTGGAGTATTGAATTTATAAGTAATGAAGTGGCATCTGACACATGACAAGCTGCTCCTGTTTGCACAGCAACTTCAACATTGTGTACTGTGATCACGGCATAGTTCAAAGGTAGGTAACCTTGGGCAGTCCAGATGCTGTGAATTACATCCCCCATAATGCTGGCAAACCATTATGGGAGGTGTAGTCCAAAACATCTGGAATACCGAATGCGTATGAATGAAAAGTATGGTGTCTGTGAATGGTCAGTAACAAGGGTTGAAGCCTTGACGTGGCATTACTGCTCACATGTGTATTCATGTGCCAATTCAACCAATGTGAGTCACTGTAATACTTAGAAGGTAACCAAAAGTACTGTGATTGTGGAGAATGAAACGCCTCTATCACCTACACACTGTTTACACTGTGACCATATCTCCTATACACTGCTTAAACTGTGACCGTATCTCCTAAACACTGCTCATACTGTGACCGTATCTCCTAAACATTGCTTACACTGTGACCGTATCCCATAAACACTGCTTACACTGTGACCGTATCTCCTAAACACTGCTTACACTGTGACTGTATCTCCTAAACACTGCTTACACTGTGACTGTATCTCCTAAACACTGCTTACACTGTGACCGTATCCCATAAACACTGCTTACACTGTGACTGTATCTCCTAAACACTGCTTACACTGTGACCGTATCCCATAAACACTGCTTACACTGTGACCGTATCTCCTAAACACTGCTTACACTGTGACCGTATCTCCTAAACACTGCTTACACTGTGACCGTATCTCCTAAACACTGCTCATACTGTGACCGTATCTCCTAAACACTGCTCACACTGTGACCCTATCACCTAAACACTGCTTACACTGTAAGCACAGACCTGCTTTTATTCAAAATTGAAAGTGCTCGATCATTCTTTCTATTCTACGCCTCCAATCTTCAACATTGAAATTGTCATTTCTAATAATATAAAATAAGTAATATGCTTTCTGGTTACGATTTGGTGAGTTGTAACTATATATTTTATTTTTACAGTTTCAGAGGGAAGGAGCAAACCGCTTTGAGGAGTCCCTGCGTAAGAGACTATTGGATACTGAAGGGCTGTACTGCAGTGTCGGCTCTAGACTTGGCGAGGCCTTAGGCGAAACTCATACATGAGACCCCACGGAGAACACCATTATTGAAGAAAAAATAGCAGGTGACTTTGTGTATAAGAAGCTGTAGATATATTGATGGTGGAGCTCAGTGGTGTATCCTGGTTTTGTGCTGCCCTAGGCAGGACAAAACTCAGACGCCCCCCTCCCCCCCACCCAACCCTTCCCCCCGCCCCGCCTTCTAAATACACACATTCACTGACAGATACGCATACATTAGCTAACAGAAACACACACACTCACTAACAGACACACACACACTAACAGACACACACAGGCAAACACACACACTCACTAACAGACATACACACACTCACTCACATTAACACATTTTTTTTTTTTTTAATTTCCCCCCCCCCAGCCTCCTTACCTTTGGTAATGCTGGGGGGGGGTTCTCTATCTCCCTGGGGTCTAGTGGGGCTGCCATCGGGCTACTGGGCTGGTTGCTGGGGGGGCGGGCGGGCAGCTGGCAAGGGAGCACTTCCTCTGAGCTGTCTGCTCAGCTCCCTCGCGCGCCGCAGAGTGAGGCTGGGAGCCGGAATATGACGTCATGTTCCGGCTCCAAGCCTCACTCTGCGGCGCGCAGACAGCTCAGAGGAAGTGCTCCCTCGCCCGCCAGCCCAGCATGTCAGTTAGCCGCAAGGCTAACAAGGCATTTGCCCTGGGCATGTTTTGCTGCTAATCTGACAAATAGTACATTTTGGGGCGTGCACTTCATATCTGAGAGTCAAATAGAAGCGTCTAATAGTGCACTTACTGCGCAGTTGTAAACATTCTAATTGTTTTGCTGCTAATCTGCTGCTTACATTGGAGTTTTAAAAAGTCAAATTTAAAAAAAAAAATTGTGCTAAATAGTATATTTGGGGTGTGCACTTTATATCTGAGAGTCAAATCGAAGCATCTAATAGTGTGACTCTGCTGGTGGGGTTTCCATGGGCCATCCACCTAGCCCTGCCCCAGAAGTGGAAGGGATTGAGTGCACTGATGCACAACCACTTATGCGTGAGGATGGGGACATGCAAGGACCACCGCAGCACGTCTCTGATGATGACGAAACACAGGTGCCAACTGCTTTGGCTTTTGGCAGTGTGCAGACCTGCAAGGAGGGCAGGGTTGAGGAGTGGGTGGAAGATGATGTAGAGGATGATGAGGTCCTAGACCCCACATGGAATAAAGGTCATGAGAGTGACCTGCTCAGTTTGGAGGAAGAGGCAGTGGTCGCACAGAGCCACCAGCACAGCATAAGAGGGAGCAGGGTGCAAAAGCGGAGCGGCCATCCCCTAGACGGTACGCCTGTTACTGCCCACCGCACCCAGGGACCGAGCACACCAAAGCCAGCTCCAAGGAGGTACCTGGCATGGCAGTTCTTCAGACAATGTGCTGATGACAAGACACGAGTGGTTTGCACGCTGTGCAATCAGAGCCTGAAGCGAGGCATAAAGGTGCTAAACCTGAGCACAACCTGCATGACCAGGCATCTACATGCAAAGCACAAGCTGCAGTGGAGTAAGCACATCAAAAACCAAGAAAGGTCTCAGGCTCCTCCTGCTTCCTCTTCCGCTGCTGTCTCTGCCTTTTTCTCTGTGCCACCACGTTTGCCACCGTCCCCAAGCATCTCCACACTGTCCCAGTGCACAGGAACCCATGGGAGCAGGGGGAGCCAGGCAGCCGGCACAGTTCGCACATGGCCGGCAGGGATTATAAAAAAATATATATATATTGCGGCGGGGGCGGGGCTTAATGTGCGGTGGGGGCCCTGGTTAATGCAGCATGGGAAGGAGTTCCTGCTTCCCCAACAACCAGCCTCCAGGAGCTCCAGGGATGTGGAGGTAAGAAGCAGGTCAGTGTGACTGCCTGTGTGTGTGTGTGTGTGTGTGTGTGTGTGAGAGACACTGTCTGTGTGTGTGACTGTCTGCCTCTGTGTGTATGTATGACTGTGTGTGTCTGTGTGTGTGACTGTCTGCCTGTGTGTGTGGCTGTCTGCCTGTCTCTGTGTGTGGATGTCTGCCTCTGTGTGTGTGGATGTCTGCCTCTGTGTGTGTGGATGTCTTTGTGTGTATGCATCTGCTAGTGAGTGAGTGAGCTTCTGTGTGTGTGTGCGCATCTGCTAGTGAGTGAGCTTCTGTGTGTGTGTGCATCTGCTAGTGAGGGAGCTTCTGTGTGTGTGTGCACCTGCTAGTGAGTGAGCTTGTATGTGTGTTAGTGAGCTTGTCTGTAGGGAGCATGGGAGTGCCTGCTCCTGTCTGTGGTGAGCATGTGTGTGCAGTGAGCTTGTCTGTGTATCAGAGTTGTCTGTACTAAATTTGTGTGTGTACCAGTAACCTTGTCTGTGTGTGTCATTGAGATTGTCTGTCAATGAGCCTATTTGTGTGCATCAGTAAGACTGTCTGTGTCTGCATGTGAGTATGCTTTACTGTATAATTTAATTACCCTAAAAGGACTAATATTTTGAATTGAAAAAGAAATATTCCAAATATATATATATATATATATCCACACCAGTGTGTATATATAGATATGTGTGTGTGTGTATATATATGCTATGTAGTGTGTGTTTTATAACACACACTACATAGCACAATTACTTATGGGGCTGCCATAGATTGTTTTCCAGGGCTGCTTCGTGTCCCCAGTCCGGCCCTGCCCACCTGCGATCCCTGGCCCTGAATGCCAGCATTTCAAAATTCGTGGCCTTTGAAATGCTGTCATTCCGTCTGGTGGAGATGGACAGTTTTAAAAACCTGATGGCGGTGTCTGTCCCACAGTACGTGATTCCCAGCCGCCACTACCTTTCCAGGCGAGCCATCCCTTCCCTGCACAACCAATTGGTGGACAAAGTCAGGTGTGCACTGCGCAACTCCATCAGTGGCAAGGTCCATATAACCACAGATACGTGGACCAGTAAGCACGGGCAGGAACGCTATATCTCCCTAACTGCACACTGGGCAAATGTAGTGGCAGCTGGGCCTAATGCGGATACGGCATTTCTCTTTGCCTCCTGTTGCCTCCTCCTCCTACTCTGCTTTCGCCTCCTCTACCACCACCTCATCCGGGCAGCATAACACCTTCACCACCAACTTCAGCACAGCCAGGGGGAAACGACAGCAGGCTGTTTTAAAACTGATATGTTTGGGGGAAAAACCCCACACCGTGCAGGAGCTGTGGACGGGCATGGAACAACAGACCGATGAGTGGTTGTTGCCACTGAGCCTCAAGCCCGGCCTGGTGGTGTGCGATAATGGGTGAAATCTCGTAGCAGCTCTGGGCCTAGCCGGTTTGCTGCACATCCCTTGCCTGGTGCATGTGCTGAATTTGGTGGTGCAGAAATTCCTGAAAAACTACCCATATATATCAGAGCTGCTGCAGAAAGTGCTGGCCATCTGTGCGCGCTTTCGGCGTTCTCACCCTGCTGCTGCTCGCCTGTTTGTGCTGCAGCGTAACTTTGGCCTTCCCGCTCACTGCCTCATATGCGACGTGCCCACAAGGTGGAACTCCACCTTGCACATGCTGAAGAGACTGTGCGAGCAGCAGCAGGTGATAGTGGAGTTTCAGATGCAGCACGCACGGGTCAGTCGCTCTGCAGAACAGCACCACTTCACCACCAATGAGTGGGCCTCCATGCGAGACCTGTGTGCCATTTTGAACTGTTTTGAGTACTCCACCAACATGGCCAGTGCTGATGACGCCGTTCTCAGCCTTAATATCCCGCTTCTATGTCTCCTTGAAAAAAACGCTGCGGGCGATGATGGAAGAGGATGTGGCAGAGGAGGAAGAGGGGTCATTTCCACAGTTATCAGGCCAGTCATTCACAAGTGGCTTGGCGGGTGGGTTCCTGCACCAGCATAGGCCAGGTACACAATTGTCCAGCCAGGACACAGTTCTGGAGGATGAGGAGAAAGAAGATGAGGAGGAGGAGGAGGAGGAACCGTGTTCACAGCAAGGTGGCACCCAACGCAGCTTGTGGGCATCACTGGAGCGTGGCTGGCCCAGGGCCCCAAGCAGAGCCGGTGCTTCCTACAAGGCTGCAGCCACCTGAGCGCTCTATAGCGAGCCTCAGGTGGCAGCAGTACTCCTCGTCATCACCTCCCCTTCTCTGGCTGTAGCGTGGCCGAGCTCCTCTTCCTCTTGTCAGCCCGGCCGGGTACCGTGCGGTACAGGAGATTCAGTTTCCTGTTCCCTGCTGGACTGACAGGAAGTGCACACTGGACTGACAGCCAGGAGGAAGAGAAGCTCGGCCACGCTACAGCCAGAGAAGGGAAGGTGAGAAGAAGATAGGGAGGGAGTGGGGCAGTAAAAAGAACATGGGGAGTAAAACATGGGGTAGTAAAAAAAAACATAGGGAGGAGTAAGATAGACACAGGGAGGGAGAGTACAGAAGGACACAGGAGGGAGGAAGAAGGAACAGGAGAGGGGAAGGGGAAGCAAGAAGGACACAGGGAAGGGAGGGGAAGAGAAAGGATACAGGGGGGAGTAAGAAGGACACAGGAGGGTACAGGGGAGGGAGTAAGAAGACACAGGGGAGGGGTAAGAAGGACACAGGAGGGAGGGTAAGAAGGACACAGGGGAGGGAGTAAGAAGGACACAGGAGGGAGGGAGTAAGAAGGACACAGGGAGGGGATAGGGATAGTAAGAAGGACACAGGGAGGAGGGAGGGGATAGTAAGAAGGACACAGGGAGGTGGAGGGATGGTAAGAAGGAGGAGGAGGTGGGAGTAAGAAGAACATAGGGAGGGGGAGTAGTAAGAAGAACATAGGGAGGGGGTGAGGAGATGAGGAAAACAGGGAAGGGGGAGGTGAGGAGAAGCGGAGATGAGGAGAACACAGGGAGGGGGGTGAGCAGAAGCGGAGATGAGGAGAAAACAGGGAGGGGGGGTGAGGAGCTCTAAGCAGTATTTGCACTGTAAACCTTTTTTATTTATATAAAGTGTGGGTGAACTTAAACTGTATGGCTATGCTGTGGTTCCTGTAGGCTTTGCGTGCGTGGGGGGACCTCCATGTCCATTTTGCTTGGGGCCCCCAAATTCCTAAAACTGCCCTGTATATATATATATATATATATATATTGTTACCAAAGCAAGGAATTGTGCAGGATGGAGTCTATATTTCTCCCCAGATTCTGCAAGGTTCCTACTTTATGTAATGCTGAAGATTAGCCCCAGGGAAATGTTTTGTTTTAAAATTAATATTGCACTTTATATTAGTGTGTGTTTGGGCCATGGGATGAAGCACTTGGAGAGTAGTGTGGGTCAGTACTCCACTCCATATTTTGAAAGTTTGCATTGAAAGTGCAGGTGAGGAGTCCAGTTCCAGGTTTCAACACTCTGATTTACCTCACCTGAAAAATTTCATAGTTAACATAGTTAAAATCGTTAATTGCAGGTGCTTTTAAGTACTCCCCTGCCAAAGAAGGAGGAGAGATGGTGTTTGATTCCTGTGAGTTGAAAGAGAAAACTGAGAGAACCTAAAACCGTAACGTGGATATTTGTTTATGTTGGGAAATGGACAAGACATCCAGTTAGTTTATTATTTTGTTAAGTTAGTGCTCAGAAGAGCAAGGATTTTTTATTTTTTTTGTTATACTTAACTGCACATTGTTGAATTTTGGAACTACAATAATTTTACATCATCCAGTGTGTGAAGTGTCTCTGAATCCTGAAAAGACTATGTAACATCCTAATCCCAGGATAAGGTACCAAAGGGGGTGTGTGTGTGTGTGTGTGTGTGTGTGTGTGTGTGTGTGTATGTGTATATATATATATATATATATATATATATCTATCTCTATCTTGGTCAGAGTGCATTATTGGTATGCCTGTCCGCTAGGGTAGTTTCTTCAGGCACCCTCTTACCACCATTCTCTGTTTCACGCAAGTCTGCTATGACAAACATGGTATTGTACAGCAGCAAGAGTGAGCACCTTCTCTGCATTTACATTTGACTAATATGTAAAACTTACAAAGTATGGGTTTAAGCAAAGAATTAGGACGTACACCTCCTGGCTTTTAGCATGCATGGTGTTCTGACATGAAAGGATTTGCACATGGTGGGAGCGAGAACTTCCACGTACAAAAAAATTGCTGCTGTTTGACTGGTGTTTTGCACAGCTTCCAGGGAGCAATATATCTCTAAATTTGCAGTGACAAATTTGCTATAAGTTGTTTTGCAAGCCGGAAGTGTAATTGCTAGCTGTCTGACAGGGTTTGAATAAAGGGCTACGACCTCTAATGTCAAGACCTACTACAGTTTGACCAATTTCCCAAACATAAATCTGCAGAGATGGTACTGTGGGACCATAACAACGTTAATACGCTGAAGTGGCTATCTGTCTATCATGTCCCTTTAATATATGGCGTAAGCGTTTGTTGATTTTGGATGACCATTTTGTGGTCAAAGCTGTCTTGTCCCATTTTATAGCATAATTGGTATTTGCTTATATTGGGCCTTCTTTTGGATTAACAGCAGGAAGAGGTTTATGTCAAAGAATGAACTCTATGGAATAACTATATAACTGATGATAAATAAAACACAATCAAAGATCAATTGGTATTTAATGTTGATTAACAGTTACTGATATTTTGTCTACTTGTGTTTGGGAGTTATAGGACGTCTCTTGCGTCCATCAGATTCCAAGTATACTCTGAGTTTTGGTCTGGACACGAGATGGTCAACATATGCTGAGAGAAGTGGAAATGAGGACAGACATTCTGATGAGAGGTCAAGGTTGCAGTGCAAGGTATCCAAGAGGTTATAATCAGCATAGGAAATCTGTAAATGAAATTATAGATTACAGGTGGGAATTAAAAATAATACTATACAAGCCAATATCCTTGATAGACCACCCTTCTCGACTACTTACTTTATCTCCAACCAGGAAATTTGGTCCTTTGGGATTTTGTGAAAGGACTTTCTCAAAAGCTGTCAGTATACTAGAAACATCCTGCTGGTATTTTTCCTTATTTGATTCCTGCATGAAATATATGGTATATTATTAATTTCCAGAAAAGTTAAATATATTTTTATCTACTCAAATAGTCTCTTTTTTTTAAAACCATGCAAATCTCCATAATCCCTGTTTCTATTTTCTCTCCCCGACCAGATTACCTACATTGTCTAAAAATAGGAATTTGTAGTATTTTTGCCTGAGATCCTCCACTCCATCATTCATCATGTCAATGACTGCAATCTCATGATCATTGGTACCACCCAGTCCTGCAAACACATTACAAGGTGTTAGTTATTGTAGATAAACCACGAGGTAGTTTAAAGTCCAGTTCTTTGCACTTTGGCCCAAGTGTGACTATTCTTCCCTTTCAATATCTATATAAACATGCAGCGTAGTGCACATTAAAACTACTTTATTTTAATGGTTTATTCTAATAATGACTTGTATTTCAGGAGGGTGGTGGTACAAGCTGCAAGTGTGCCAACAATCCTCTCAAATATGTGCAAGGTTTTTTCTAGTACCAATGTGTTGGTTTTTTTTCCCTGTGGTCTTAACTTTGAAAATAGTGTGTGTTCAGAGATGAAACTAGACAATCCATTTCTTTCACATTTTGATCCATTTGATTTTTTATTTTTATTTTTCAAAAAAAAAAAATTCAAATAAATTGAACTAACTTAAATTAGGTTGGCCAGTACAATTCTGCAGAGTTGCTTGCAACAGACATCATTCAATTCAAATTTTATCACATGACTGGAGGCTTCCTATTTTGCATTAACTTTCTTTACTTATGCCTCCAGCAGCACAAGTCAATCAATCAAAAAACTTTAACCAATCCAGCACATCCTGTATATAAGTCCCTGACAGGCGTCTCATTTCCTTTTTCTTTGCTGCTCCAGCCAAGGCACAGGTCAAAGTAATTTGTTCTCTACTCATCATTTTATCAAAATTATCCATTTACACTACTTAAATTGTATATATGACATCTAGATTGTTACTGTCTTTCCCTGCTCTCACTAGATGCTCCGCTAACCCTCCGTTCTATCTGCCCCTCTGACAGCTATCCTGCTTCCCTGCCACCTTTTCTCCACGATCGCGGCAGTTTACCGCGATCGCGACCTTCTCAATTAGGAAGGGACTGTTCTCTCTGTGGGGTTGAGTGGGCTGTGGGAGCTCTGGGACTCAGTTTACCGCCCGGCGAGCCGCGATCACGGCTCACGATCGCGGATCGCGCTGACAATATTTGTGCGCGATCTGCGGCCATATTGGATCTCGCGGACCGAGTCGCCCATCTTTGTCTCCTACCAGATCGTGATTCACACGATCTAGTTTCTCTCCAACACTCACTAATCACAGGCTGCCCATCAATATCCTGATTCAATACTACAGTTTTACATGCTACTAAGGATTGAGTCACTCTGAACAGTACACTGGTTTCTGGGACTCAATAAATATATATATATATATATATATATAAATATATATATATATATATATATCTCACACTCCCATGGAGTGTTATACCAGAGGTGACCCCTCATAGTGGGGTGATCCCCCACACTCACTGCTATTATTACTATTACAGGGGTGACCACCCCTATGCTGGGTGACCCCCAGACGTGAATTACGTGGAATCAGTGGCATAAGCAATTCAGGGGTGACCCCCCCACGATAAATTTTACATACATGATACAGGCACCCTCCACACTACGACTGGGGTGACCCGTAAGTACCTCCTAATCACCAAGGAGGCAGAGCGTACTTCACTAAGGCTCCACTGGACTATACTTATTGGGTGACCCCCAAATCATAATAAGGGCTACATGCCCTGGACGGGCTCAGTCCCGATTACATGACCGCTCATCCCGGTCTCACAGAGGGTGACCCCCTCCCTAGCCCATATAGATACATATTGTGACAGATTCACCTATATTGCTGGTTCATCTGTTTCCCCTTTATTTCGCTGGATTCCCTGTTCGTATGCCCCTGTTCGTGAAATTACAAAATGCCACATGTCGACCACGAGGCAGCGGCCATTTTGGGACACGAGAAAGCGTAGCGGTGTTCGGTACAAATTCTATGGAACTAAAAACGGACACTTTAATCTACCGAACACCGCTGGAAGCTGATGCCTCCCCTTCTATTTCGGCGAGGCATACGAACGCCGGTCTGTTCGGGAGTTTTATGCATTCGTATGGACCTTTACCCAGATAGCCGTCCCATGGAGTCATTCGTATACCGAAGGACTGGTGAAAGACTTGGACTCCATGGCGATTCGACTAGATACATCGGATCTGAGCGCTATTCGGTAGAAATATGCACTCAGATCCAGGCTGTCTGGGGATACGTTATACGAACTATATTCATTCGGTATTTTCTAAGTTATGTATTTTAATGTATTTTTATTACTGTATTTTAAAATGGCGATGGTCTCTATCCTAGGAGATAATTAGGTTTCTTCCCAATTATCTCCCAGGTAGAGAAGACGGATTTATGGGTAAGATGGGAAGGGCTTATATTGAAGCCACTGCGATTGGCTACTGTACAATATGTTTTACAGTCTTCCACAAGGTCCCCTCGGGGAGTGTCCACCTTGTGGAGACCTGCATAAATACCGGGCAGGTAGCCCCCATTAAACAGAACCTTATTTGACCCTCAAGACGGAGCTTGGTCTCGTTTGTGGGGGAATTACTACTGGGACAGCGCTTTCGTTATTTTTAGCTGTGGAAGGCGTTCGACTGTTTTGCTGATCGGGAGTTGCCGTGTTCGTGAACTTCGTTCGGGAGTTTGGCGGTCGGCTGGATATAAACTGCATTTCTGGAGAAGGGGATTATTCACTAAACGGCGGCTTCATCTACCTGGCGGTGAGTGTCTTAACACATATATACAGATATATATCTACCAACAAGTGGTTTGTGTCTATTTGACGACACTAGGTGAACCCCGGTCGTAAGTGGAAGCCCACTGTATTATTATTATTATTATTATTATTATTATTATTCACCTACTTCTGTACCTGAACCTATCCTGTCCACAGACAGAGAGACCTACTGCCACAATATGAGCGAATCACCACAATCAACCCCACCCGACTTTCTGTCGATGATTAACACGCCCGTGGCAGCCTCAATGGAAAAGGCTATCGCCAAGTTACTGGTCCAAAACCCGAAAGGGGACACAGACATGAAAGACACAGATAGGTCTACAGGGAAGATCGCCACATCTAAACGACACTGGAAGGGCACTGGCCCAGGCCCCCAAAAATCAAAGGGAAAGGCCCCATTAAAGAGGCGCCGACAGGCAGAACGCCGAGGCCCATCAACCCCTCAGATGACATCCTCCGAAGATGAAGACCATGTCATCAGACAGGCCAGAGGAGGACTCTTTCCTAGACCCCCAAGGCAAGCCTATGTTCGACCCTCGTACGATCCGCCACCCAAGGTCGTCAGAATGGGGTCTGCCAGAACACCTGGCCCAATTCATCCATTTCTGGCTGAAAAAAAAACCAATGGAGAAGGAGGTGCGTGCAAGACTAGGGGCCGAATGCCCAAGACCCATACTACCAGACACACCCCGGAATTCAATACCACTGTGGTTTTATTCATGTCACGAGCAGGCCGTGACCCACGTAAAGGCATTGAGAAGGGCCTGAAGGCCTCCCAAGATAAATTACTGGACATGCTCAGTCCATTAGCAAAGATCCTATACTTCGCGGATCTGGCCCTCACAAGGGGCACTGCCTTAGATGCCCACGACATCCGAGAATGGGCACAACGAGCTATCTGCATGTTGGGCAACACAAACATCACCATATGCGCAGAGAGACGCAAGGCTGCATTACTAAAGATGGACTCCAAACTCCTAGATCTGGGCAAGAAGGAATGGGACCTCAGTCGAATGGCCAACTCTTTGGAGATTCATTCATCAGCGAATTAAAGAAGCATGTGAACTTGTTCACTACTTTAAGTAAAGCACAAACCTCTATTAAACAGGTTTTCTGCAACCTCACACCACACAGAGGGGTTTTCGGCAGGGCTGGTCACCAGAGGGGCCGAGCCACCAGCTGCTTCTGGCCCACAGGCCCCAGGAATCAGACGGCACAAGCCTTCTTCCCATCCTCAAGAACACCTTTCTCTAGGCTCTTGGTGCTTCACAAAACTGCTGAAGCCAGCCATGGCGCATCTAAGAGCAAAAGGTATCTGTTGCCTGATATACCTGGACGACATATTGATATTTTGCGAAAGCGCGTCCAGACTTCGATCTCAAACGAGATTTATAGTGCGCTTTCTGGAATCCTTAAAGGACCACTCTAGGCACCCAGACCACTTCAGCTTAATGAAGTGGTCTGGGTGCCAGGTCCTTCTAGGGTTAACCCATTTTTTCATAATTATAGCAGTTTCAGAGAAACTGCTATAATTATGAATGGGTTAAGCCTTCCCCCTAATCCTCTAGTGGCTGTCTCATTGACAGCCACTAGAGGCGCTTGCGTGCTTCTCACTGTGAACATCAGCAGTCCATAGGAAAGCATTGTAAATGCTTTCCTATGAGACAGCTGAATGCGCGCGCAGCTGCGGCGTGCGCATTCAGCCGGCGGGGCGTAACGGAGGCGGAGAGGAGGAGGAGAGCTCTCCGCCCAGCGCTGGAAAAAGGTAAGTTATTACCCTTTTCCCCCTTCCAGAGCCGGGCGGGAGGGGGTCCCTGAGGGTGGGGGCACCCTCAGGGCACTATAGTGCCAGGAAAACGAGTATGTTTTCCTGGCACTATAGTGGTCCTTTAAGCTTCATTGTGAACAGAGAAAAGTCATCACTCTCTCCATCGAGAACCGTCCAGTTCCTAGGATTCGAGATAGACTCGATAACATGCATCCTACGCCTTCCCAAATTGAAAATTGTGAATATTCGAAAAGAGATACGATGGGTTCTGCGGAAGGACATGATCTCGCTACGCCTCCTGGCCAGGATAGTCGGGTTACTGTCGATCTCCATACAAGCAATCTTCCCAGGACCTCTCCACTACCGGGCCATGCAAAGATTGAAAGCTCACCACCTGAGACTAGGACACTCATACGACCAAGGGGTTACGATAACCGCGGAGGTACGGACGGAACTTCGTTGGTGGCTCTTTCACATGGAAGCCTGGAACGGCAGAGCCATATTCGGACCGAACCTGGACTTCATACTGGAATAGGACGCCAGCCTTTGGGGCTGGGGAGCCCATTGCGCACATGCATCCACAGGGGGACCTTGGTCAGGAGAAGAGAAACTACTATACATCAATTGTCTAGAACTGATAGCAGGCTCATTTGCGATATGCAGCCTGGCCAAACACATGTCCAATTGCTGCATACTCCTACGCATGGACAATATATCCGCAGTCCAGTACATAAACCACTTGGGCGGAGCCAGGTCGCGAGCCCTGACGGAGGCTACGAAGGACATTTATCGGTTTTGTCTGCCCCGCAACATAACTATCAGGGCGGAATACCTACCAGGGTTCAACAACCTCACGGCGGATTGGTTCTCCCGACACTGGCGGGACAGCAGCGACTGGCACCTAGACACATCAATTTTCAACATGGTGAGAGCGATCAGAGGACCCCTACACATAGACCTCTTTGCCTCACGAACAAACACCCAACTACCGAGATACTACAGCTGGCTACCGGACCCGCCGAGCAAAGCGGTGGACGCATTTCTACAACAGTGGCCCCCGATTGGAGCCTATGCATTCCCACCGTTTTCGATTTTGGCAAGAGTGCTTCACAAACTACGCATGTCCTAGACATCGATGATACTATTAACACCATTATGGAGAAGTCAGGCATGGTTCCCAGACTTTCTGGCATTGTCACAGGATCATCCACTGGTCCTACCATCATTTCCCCTGCTCCTCACGAATCCGGAAGGGGAACCTCATCCACTAATCCTTCAGGAACGCCTGGAATTAGTGGCCTGGACTCTTTCAGGGGAGCTTGAGCAGTCTAAGACCTATCGCAAATGACTAAAAACCTACTCTGGGATTCATGGGCACCAGGTACCACGCGTAGATACATGTCAGCATGGAATACATGGAATCGCTGGTGTATGGAAAGGGGTCTCGATCCCTTTACAGCACCTGTTCCTGCCATACTAAATTTCCTATCCAACCTATTCTCTACAGGAAGATCATACCGTTCTAGTAATGTTACACGCTCCGCTATCTCGTGGCTCATGTTCCAGTTAACGGTATCCCAGTAGGCCAGGAGGCCTTGATATGTCGCTTACTACGGGGCATCAAGTTATCCAGACCACCGGCATCTAAATATAACCGGTTATGGGATGTGGATTTGGTTATTCGTTTCATCCGTGACTGGCCGCATAATCCGGCTCTATCACTACAGCAACTAGCAGCCAAACTGACACTGCTACTCTGTCTAGTTTCCTTCTGTCGTGTTTCGGATGTTCGCGCAGTCGACGTGGACGGGTTTTCTATAACCCCAGGCGGCGTTACGTTTTTTGTATCCCGCAGGACCAAGACGGACTCCAGGTCTGTGTCCTATCCTTTTTTCCTGACGGTTCCTCGCCTCTGTGTCGTCAACACTTTACTCCGTTATGTAGAGGTTACTGCATCTTTTCGCTCTTCCAGATCGGGACAACTGTTAATATCATATGCCAAACCATACAAACCCGTTACCACTACCACGTTGGCCAGATGGGTACGATGGCTATTATCCCTAGCCGGGGTAGAAGTGTGTTTCGGGGCCCATTCGGTTCGAGGAGAGGCGGCTTCTAGGGCTTTCTCGGCGGGGGCCTCCTTGACGGACATTTTACGTACAGCGGATTGGACCAGAGAAAATACCTTCAGGGTTTTCTATTTCCGCCAATCCTCACACGCGTCCTTATCGTTTTTGCCTCAGCGTTAAAAATGCAAAATAGGAAGCCTCCTGTCATGTGATAAAATTGTAGATTATGCTAACATAGTGTACCTATAATCTTAATTTTAATAATGACAGGAGGCGAGTATTTCCCCCCCCCCTTTTTTGGGGGGGGGATTTCTTTTTCTGTCCCTCCCTATACTCTTAGTTTTTTTTTCTGATTATGATTGTTAATCTCATGCTATACATTATATATGATATAGGTAATACTGATCTATAGGACGCTTAGCTTGCATACCACTAGATATTCATCCAATGAATTACAAATTATGACCTTATATAATCTGGACATTTTGTTATGTTTCATCAATGAGTACTAAACGAGGTACATTTATAAACTCCAAAGATTATGAGTATACTTATATGTGGACAACAGTTATTTTCCACCACCTTTCACTTATTTCTGTCTTTTTCAGCATAACATCACGTCATGATGCAGAAACTAGATTAACAGGATTCTCTCAAGTTTTACAACACAAGTTACCAGTGTTCAAATTCGTTAAAGTTTTCGTTGTATTCCCGGAAGTTCCATAAACAGTTTTTACATAAAAAAAAGAGGAAATGAGACGCCTGTCAGGGACTTATATACAGGATGTGCTGGACTCTGATTGATGTTAAAGTTTTTTGATTGATTGACTTGTGCTGCTGGAAGCATAAGTAAAGAAAGTTAACGCAAAATACTCGTCTCCTGTCATTATTAAAATTAAGATTATAGGTACACTATGTTAGCATAATCTACAATTCTGTTCTAAAAGACACTTATTATATGGTGATCTCTACCTCTGCTTGTCTAGTGGAGTATTTTTCAACACTATCAAATATGGAATAATCTGAATTAGGAGGCAGAGGACTGCCTTAAATAGAGGTTGGATGTGGCGGAACCAACCTCGCCACTGGCCACTGGAGGAGCCTGGTTGCTCGCCTGCTCCCCTTAGACTATGGCCCCATGTTTAACACTGTTCTTTTGCCCTGCAAAAAGGCTGGTTCGTGCCTTTCTGAGGACTGTTAAAGTCATGAACACCACTGAGCCGCCGACCTCCCTTCTCCTACCTGCAGTCAATTATCCGAACACCGGTCCATTCGGTACTTTATTGTTTAAACCATGCTACCCCAGATAGCTATGCTATGGAGCCCAGCCGTATACTGAAGGACTATGTGAAAGACTTTGGCTCCATGGCGATTGATCCGGTAGTAATGGGTGCTCAGATCTAAGCTATCTGGGGATAGGTAGAATATGTATGTTCTATGTGATAAATGTAACAGTATGTAATTTTATGTCTTTTATTGTCGTTTGTCTGCCATGTGGTTAATGGAGTTTTGCCTCTGTCCTTGGAGATAATTGGATTACTTCCCAATTCTCTCCAGGACAGAGAGGAGGGATCGTGATGCATTGTGGGATTGTAAGCTTGTGATTGGTCAATGACCAATATGTTTCCCATCTGGTCCCCTAGGGGAGTGTCCACCAGGTGGGAGACCTGCATAAAAGCTGGGCAGGTAGCCCCAGTAAATCAGTTCTGCTTGACCCTCAAACGAAGTGTCGTCTCATTCTTGGGGGGAATTGGATTGTATGCTGTTACAGTGCGACTGCCAGGTGTGTTGAGGAGTTGGTGAATTTGTGTGTTTCCTGTTCGGGAGTTGGTGAATTCGTGTGTTTGCCATTCGGGAGATTGGTGCTTGCAGCAGCTGTTCATGTATTTAAAAGGGGAATATCACCTAAATGGATTTTAACACCTTGTGTGCTGAAACGGTCCGTTACATTGGACCAGTGGTGTCGCTAGAGGGGGCCAGAGGGGGCCATGGCCCCCCATACATCATGCCCCCCAAATGCCAGCAACATGTTCTTACATTCTCTTCCCTCGGGCTGTAACATAACAGTGTGTTACAGCCCGGGGAAGGGAATGCAGGGCAGAGGAGCTCAGCTGGAACGGTGCTGGGAGCTGTCTGTGGTCGGAGGGACCACTGACAGGCTCCCATGCAGGCCCCGCCCCCAAACAAAGCCCCACCTCCCACACATAAGCCCCGCCCCCGCCGTTAAGCAGCAGACCATGCTGCTGCTGGAAAGGCAAGTCTGACCCCCAGCAACAGGTAGGCTTGATATGCTCAGGTGTGTATGTGTCTGAATGTGTGTATGTATGGACTCAGCAGTCTGTCTGTGTGTATGGACTCAGCAGTCTGTATGGGTGTGTGTATGGACTCAGCAGTCTGTCTGTGTATATGCACTCAGCTCTGTGTGTGTATGGACTCCGCAGTCTGTATGTGTGAATGAACTCAGCAGTGTGTCTGTGTGTATGGACTCAGCACTGTGTGTGTGTGTATGGACTCAGCAGTCTGTATGTGTGTATGGACTCAGCACTGTGTGTGTATGACTCAGCAGTGTGTGTGTGTGTATGGACTCAGCACTGTGTGTGTATGGACTCAGCAGTCGGTATGTGTGTATGGACTCAGCACTGTGTGTGTGTATGACTCAGCAGTCTATATGTGTGTATGGACTCAGCAGTGTGTGTGTGTGTATGGACTCAGCAGTATGTATGTGTGTATGGACTCAGCAGTCTGTGTGTGTGTGTGTGTGTAAGGACTCAGCAGTCTCTGTGTGTGTGTGTATGGACTCAGCAGTCTGTGTGTGTGTGTATGGACTCAGAAGTCTGTGTGTGTATGACTCAGCAGTCTGTATGTGTGTATGGACTCAGCAGTGTGTCTGTGTGTATGGACTCAGCACTGTGTGTGTATGGACTCAGCACTGTGTGTGTGTATGGACTCAGCAGTCTGTCTGTGTGTATGGACTCAGCAGTCTGTATGTGTGTATGAACTCAGCAGTGTGTCTGTGTGTATGGACTCAGCACTGTGTGTGTATGAACTCAGCAGTGTGTGTGTGTGTATAAACTCAGCAGTCTGTGTGTATGGACTCAGCAGTCTGTCTGTGTGTATGGACTCAGCAGTCTGTGTGTGTATGGACTCAGCAGTGTGTGTGTATGGACTCAGCAGTGTGTCTGTGTGTATGGACTCAGCAGTCTGTGTGTATGGACTCAGCAGTCTCTGTGTGTATGGAATCAGCAGCCTGTGTTTGTGTGTGTGTGTGTATGGACTCAGCAGTCTGTGTGTATGTGTGTATAGACTCCGCAGTCTGCGTGTGTTTGTGTCTCTATGTGTGTATGGACTCAGCAGTCTGTGTATGGACTCAGCAGTGTGTGTATGTATGTGTGTATAGACTCCGCAGTCTGCGTGTGTTTGTGTCTGTGTATGAACTCAGCAGTCTTTGTGTGTGTATGGACTCAGAAGTCTGTGTGTGTGTGGACTCAGCAGTCTGTGTTTGTATGGACTCAGCAGTCTGTGTGTCTGGGTGTGGGTGTGTGTGTGTGTATGGTCAGCAGTCTGTGTGTCTTTGTGTGTAAGGACTCAGCAGTCTGTCAGTGTGTGTATGGACTGTATCAAGGGAAATGTGTTTGTTTTTTAATAATCCTTGGTGGAAAATAATGAATTCTCCACCATAGATTATTAAAAAAAAACAAAAAACACATTGTGACGGGGGCAGGGCTTAACATGCGGCAGGGGCGGGGTCAAACTGCGGTGAGGGCGGGGTTAAATGTGCTCCCCTACTTTAGTCCCTGGCCCACCATGTGCCCCCCCTAAAATGAATCCTAGAGATACCACTGCATTGGACAAGATAGTATTTTATGGACCGGAGACATGGATATAAAAAATAAGACTATACTATTTATTAATGGAATGGACAATGGCAATTTTTGGAGTAAAATCTGCAATACTTCAAGCTTTCTGGACATGCCCTGGAATTACATTCTTATTTACACTGCATCAATTTTCATACACCAAAGAATAGTTTGTGGTTTCCTTTCCAGTCCAATGTCTTACCATGTTTTCTCCCAAGGTACCTCAGAATGGTATTACTCTGATATAGAATGAAATCTCCATCCAGAAATTTAGGTAGCTGACCAAAGACCTGTTAAATATTGCAATAACACAAACTATTAGGGTGGGGTGGGGGGGGGCAGAATTGAACTAAAACAATGAAATTATCACATGGTTTTTATATTTACTGTTACATATATTTCACTTGCATAACTCGAGATTGACTTCGGCATGTCTTCCTTAGTTATAAAAACTATGAGAAATCAACTCACTGTGCCAAAGCAAATTTGTGATAATTAATCTGAATTAAAATAGGTGTTATGGGGGACGGATGGAGCTTAAACTTCAGACTGGTCGGACGGGTGCAGTGTAAGATCCCAATCTGAATTGATAAAATCGGGGTGATATACCCACCCTAAAGCCAAAAAACCCACTTGGGTGCACCACCCACATCGGGAGGGGGGGGGCCTTACTAGATGGCGCTACACAAAGATGGAGGCCACACTCCCGCCGACTGGGCCGAAGCTAAGCACAATCAACTTGGTTCAGTGGCCCACTACACCAGCTCCTGGCTACACAAGACCTGGCATGAGATCCGGCCAAGTGTCAAGATGTCCTACTATGCTATCTGTGTACCCAGGCAGCTGAGAGTGGCAGAGGCTGGGACACTCCATCAGGAATCAGCCGATTTACCACACTTGCAGCTTGTGTCATCAGTGACCAAACTTTGCAACTTACCTGCAACGTTCCAGCTGTTATTTACTGTTGATGTACTCTATTAGAGTATTTGCAATAGTTAAGTCGTAAGCCCCAGTGGTTTATATAACTCCTGTTATTGGTGCAGAGCCATTAAAGGACCACTCTAGGCACCCAGACCACTTCAGCTTAATGAGGTGGTCTGGGTGCCTGGTCCAGCTAGGGTTAACCCATTTTTTCATAAACATAGCAGTTTAAGAGAAACTGCTATGTTTATGAATGGGTTAAGCCTTCCCCCTAATCCTCTAGTGGCTGTCTCATTGACAGCCACTAGAGGCGCTTGCGTGCTTCTCACTGTGATTTTCACAGTGAGAGCACGCACGCGTCCATAGGAAAGCATTGGAAAGCGTGCGCATTCAGCCCAGGAGGAGGATCGGAGGAGGAGAGCTCCCCGCCCAGCGCTGGAAAAAGGTACGTTTAACCCCTTTTCCCCTTTCCAGAGCCGGGCGGGAGGGGGTCCCTGAGGGTGGGGGCACCCTCAGGGCACTATAGTGCCAGGAAAACAAGTATGTTTTCCTGGCACTATAGTGGTCCTTTAAGCTTTTTCTTCTTTTCTTCTTTAATAGTAATACGTGCCCAGTTGTAAAGCTAATTTTGTTATTGCTATCTGGATACGCAGTATATTTCCCTCAATTCAACAGAAGTCCAGGCTATAGCCTGTTTCCTGCTTTGCATAAAGATTCTTGCAACCTATCGTGCCTTCAACACCTAATCCGCATACAAGCGTTCAGGTTAGTAGTTATTCTTAAAAATGAGGCTGATCTGCAAAGGAGTATATCTGCTTGCGATCCGATATTCATGATGTGTATTATTATGCTGCCTTTTTCTGTACCGCCTAACTCTCTTGCCCCCATAAAATAAAGATTGTAAAAAAAATAAATAGGTGTTATCTGGCTTTCACACAGACTTCTGCACATACAGATGCCTACATGACCTAAAATGCCACAGATTGGTATGGGTGACTTCTTGACCACAACCTTAATTGCAAATGTCCAAATATAGTAACATAAATACACAAATAGGGTTTTAGGTAGCGTGTATCTGGCAAGTACAAATTTCTGCTACCACATTTGCTATGTTTGTTTGTGTTTTATTTTTTTTAATTTATTTTTTTTATTCCAGAGTCGTACCTGCCTTATATAAGTTTTGGTGATGCTTATGTAATTCAGGCCTTGGTACAATGTCCTCATCAATTATCATATAATATAATCTTTCAATTCTATTAATCTTACTAATCACTCCCACCCGGATTTCCCCCCCCCCTCCACATTTGCTATGTTAAAGGACCACTATAGTTCCAGAAAAGCAAACTAGTTTTCCTGGTACTGTATAGTCCTTGGGTGTCCCCCCTCCTGCTGAGCTGAAGGGGTTAAAACCCCTGCAGCCACTTACCTTAATCCAGGGCTTGGCACCCTCAGTGCTGGTGACCTCTCCTCCCCCTCCGACGTCAGCTCCCGAGTGGAGCTGCATGCGTGGCCAGAGCTGCGGGCATTCAAACCGCCCAAAGGAAAGCATTACTCAGTGCTTTCCTATGGACGTTCTGCATGCTCAATGTGTTTTTTTTTTTTTTTCGCATTCAGCGTCGCAGATGCGCCTCTAGCGATTGTCAGGAAGACAGCCACAAGAGGCTGGATTAACCCTGCAATGTAAACATAGCAGTTTATTTACAGCTGCAGGGTTAAGACCTGGTACCCAGGCCACTTCATTGCGCAGAAGTGGTCTGGGTGACTATAGCAGTCCTTTAATTTTTTCGTGACCTAGATTCAAAACACAATAGGAGTTTCAGTCACAAGGAGACTAGAGGATAGTTTCCAGGATAAGAAAACACTTGTCACAGCCCTAAGGGAGTAGAGACAGCCTTTAGAATCCTTGACAGATCTGGTGAGAAAATAAAGGATAACCAAAATAGCTTTCTACCGTAAGAATGCATTACATCTAAAATATGTATTATCAACAATGTTTGGAAGTCTCTATGCACCAGTGCTATATTAATCTTTAGAAGAATGCTGCTGCCAACATCCCTTGTATGCTACTGGCCTGTGGGAAGTGGTGTACACACAATCCATGGGCCCCCGGTGCAAAACTGATACACACACACACTTTCACTCTCTGTCATCCTACTATTACCTACCTTTTAGGTGCAGGAGGGTAACTTCCCTGGAGTTCAGTGGCTCAGGTTGATGGGAGTCAGAGTTCCCACTCTGACTCCCACTCCTTCCTCCCACGCGACTCCCGGTGGTTGCTGGGAGGAGTGACCGTGGCAGTCACTTCCTTCCAGCGTCTGACATCAGAGTGGGCCTGCCTCGCATGCGCATCCCGCTCCACTCGGGAGCTGACATTAGCTGGGGAGGAGAGGTCACCAGCACGGAGGGAGCCGGCACTGGATTAAGGTAGGCTGCTGAAGGGGTTTTCACCCCTTCAGCGCCAAAGGAGGGGGACCCTTAAGGTGAGGGTCCCCCAAGGATGACAGTGTCAGAAAAACAGGTTTGTTTTCCTGACACTATAGTGATCCATTAACAATGAAACAGCTGTCCATGAGTGGTTTACTGGTTTTGCATCTGTTCCTAAGTTGTTTCAAAGCTGTTGTATACAGCAAATATAGACTCTAAGGAATCCATGTTTAAATTGGAATGAGTCAAAAAATGTGATTCTTCGTTAAACTAATTTGCATATGCCCACCCAGAATCCTTTGTGGTAGTAACATCACTGCAAATTTGTGATTTCTGTAGGAAAAGCAAGTCTTATGGCTTGACTGGTGTGCAGATTTTTGTTTAACATTGTATTGAATATATATGCACCGTGACTAATTCAAATCTCTGAAGTGATCACTCCAAGCACCATGATTACTTCATTGATTTGAATTAATTAGTCATAGTGCTTGTAGTTTGTGATACACTGCACATGCAAAAAAACCAACAAAAAAAACTTTACCATTAGAGCTCATTCGAGTCATTAGCAAGCTTGGACCTCTGCTGTTATTTCTGTGGACAGTTTACATAGGTCATCAGACAGACAACCAATTGTGGCAGGTCTCTCCGGGCACTGCTCACATCCTCCTTTCTGTCCTCTGGAATCCTTCCCTGCAGCAAGTGGAAGTTACATCACCACAGGTGGATCGTGATACCTGGAGTATGTAGACTTCCTCTCCCTCCCGACCTACCCCCAAATTTTTATTTTATTATTTATTTATTTATTTATTTTGAGAAGAGCTTGCACCATTAAAGTACTGTTTTTAGTTTGAGTAATCCATTAATGTGCAAGTTATATATGGATAAAAGTACCAATGCAGAATGTTTGTTAGAGTTCCCTAAACAGGCAAGCAAAAAACTAGTACAACAACAAAAGTTTTGAATCCACACAAACCAAAGTAGTAGAACTACAACCGTACGCAGGAGATGACTCACTGCATTTTTCTTGAGGTTTTCTTTTCCTGAGGCCCAGTCTTGCATTTGCACTTCATCTTCAGTCAACGGGATCCCTTGGTCCCAGCATAGCAGTCTAATATGTTCAGCCCTTCCTAAAGACACAGGAAATATACAATTATTTATATTTTTATATATACACTATGAGGTTATGTATAAAAAAACAAAACTCTAAATGTAAAGAAATCCCCAGGAGAGTTAATGGGACACTTCACTGCCCAAATAATGTTGAGTGTGTGTATATATGAGAAAGATCTATGCATTTTTCTTGGGTGTATATCTAAAGTGCTCATATAAGCTGCCAATCTCTTGTCTGAAGCCTTTGCAAGCCCACTCCTACTTCCCCAGCCAAAACGTTCTGTGGCTGTTCAATCATGGTCTTCCCAATGCAGGTGTTCTGAGCAATTTCCTGCCTTTTGAGTTTAGATCCACTCAGCTAAACAGCCAGGAAGTAACAATGCTGTCTCGTTGACAGGCAGGTGGTGTAACAAGGTTAATTTATAAAAGTGCCAATTTCTATTGAAATCTGCACCTTTTTGTAAAATGAAAAATGAGGACACAGTTGTAGCAGACCACGGGTAACCCGACAGGTTACCTCCACTAAATCCTTCCTTCAGCCACCCTGGAACCATTAAAGCATACAGGCATTCATTCCCCCAATAACCAAACGAAATATAGCTCTGGGAGTCAACTGAGGTTTATTTTGTCACACTTTTTTTTTTTTTTTGGCACAATATGGTCTCCAACACAATACAACAGGGGTTTCAATCCCAAGATCCTGATGGGAGAGTGAGGAGGGACAAAGCAGCTAGTTTAAACTGGTCTGGCAGTATCCCTAGGACAACTCCCTGCCGGGGAAACAATAGGACAGGAGACGAAAGGTAGAGAGTAGTGATGTCCCGAATGGTTTGCCGAACGGTTCACCACGAACGGTTCGCCGCGGACTCATCATTGAGTAAACTTTGACCCTGTACCTCACAGTCAGCAGACACATTCCAGCCAATCAGCAGCAGACCCACCCTCCCAGACCCTCCCACCTCCTGGACAGCATCCATTTTGAAGCTGCATTCTTAGTGAGCTGTCCAGGAGGTGGGAGGGTCTGGGAGGGAGGGTCTGCTGCTGATTGGCTGGAATGTGTCTGCTGACTGTGAAGTACAGGGTCAAAGTTTACTCAATGATGAGTCCGCGGAGAACCGGTCGTGGCGAACCGTTTGGGACATCACTAGTGGAGAGGTACAGACAAGCAATACATATAACACCTAACTATACTTTACAGTCTATAGAGCTGCTGCCCCCCACCACTGCATATACAGACGCACACTGCTCTATGTAGAAAGCAGGCACGCAACACAGCAACATCTAGACACATGGAGAACAGTCAAAAAATGGTGCCACAAGCCTGTGGCCCGCGCCAAACAAATCAGGCCACCCATCACATATTCCCCCCTTCCCCCTCACCAAGTCCACAGTCAAAGTCCTTGGGGTCCAATGTGACTGGACAAGTGGGTAGGCATGGTACTCAGTGACTGCATTCCGTCACAACACTCTACACATAAAACACTGCAGCCAACTTCAGGTAAGCGTATGCAGTGTACACCTCCTGCCAACTTTCTCAAGTCTTTAAATTACATTTGTATATACACTTACCTAAATTTTAATATATCACACACTCATTTTGAGAATGAGACTAATTTTAAGGATTCAATAATCAACAGCAAAATGTAGAGGATCAAACCAAGAGAACTTTTCAAAAGCCTTTTGTGTTAAGACTTTTTACTAAACAGTGAAATGTGATAAACATTAAAACAGAATTTAAACATTTAGTCCAAATCAAGAGGTGTGTTTTTTTTCTTTCCCCTGTCCTTGTCTATATTTACAATTCCATTGCCTGTTCACCACAGATCTTCTATATTATATGCCACCTTTCAAGTAATAGCTTTATGTAAACATTATGCAACTGCCTGCAGCACAATTATAAGCATTATATTCACCTCTCACAGGAAAATATGTTAGTGTATATCCAGGCACTGCAAGAAAACAATATGTAGGTTACAAGATGACAGTAAGTGAGACAAAGACACTAAGACATTGCAACAAATTGTATGAATATTTCAGAAAACTAAACACAATGATACATAATAAGATCAGTACATGGAAAAACAATAATACAAGTAGGACTTTTCAAATACTATGCAAAGATAAATATGCACATCACATCAAGAAAACACCAAAAAGTTTATTTAATAAACTGAGAATTGTGATTGACAAACCCAAAATACAAAATGTACTCCTACATAGCCAAGAAGTGAACAGTTTTCCCTGGCTATCATAGTCTATCTTTTGTATTCCAATCAGCACAAATCCTATAATGAACACCAGAAAACATCAATTAGATACAATAAAGACAGAGTGAAAAACATATTAATTTTTGTTAAACTTTACGCCAGATAAACACTTATAAAGAGAAACATTGAGAGTTTGCAAGTGAGAATTAAACACAAAATTGCAGCCTATAATAATAAATAGTTTGGAGCCTACTTTTAGAGTTCTGTTGTTAACTGGTCAGCTAGAAGTGTTGGTTTCAGGGCAGTGTGAATGATGCATTTGTTTCCACTGATTTATATTCAAGGTAGTTTATGCTGAGTCACAGTGAAATAACAGAACAATGCAGAGAGTAATAGAGATATACTGACTACCCAGGATGAAATGACAGAGGGTCATAAAGAGAGGTTAGTGCAGCCAGAAGAACATTTGTGGTAGAATTTTATGATAGAGATTGACCTGGTTATTCACTAAAGTCTGAATGGGGCAAAAGCATCGCGCTACATACGGGCAATTCTGACTGCGGACATTGTTGATGACATTTATCAATATCTGGATTTTGCAAATCAGAACGACTGCTGAAAATACAGGCCTGAATTTTAATAACAAATCTGAGCTGTTTGCATTCTAGCTGACAGTTTAATAAAAAAAATAAAAAAAAAATAATAAACCTCAGTGGCATGAGGGTTAATAATGTGGCTGATTGCCAGGCTTGCTAGCCAGCTGCCACATCATAAAAAGAAAACTAACTTGAATAAAAATCCTTATCAATCCGTATTGAATGTTTTAAACCTCCTTATGCCCCACCTGTATCTCTATTTGTAGCAGAGCGCTAGTTTCACAAAGACTTTCTCCGCTGGTAATCCAAGAGTAGTTCAGGAACAAGTAGTTAATACAGGAGGAACAGCATCAGTAGTAAATAAAATAATCCAAGAATATCCCATCACCTTTCCCAATGACTGGATGACACACAGTATCAGGAGCAGAACTGATGTTTAATGCCACAGACCCTGCTTTTATACATCTCTCCCATGCAAGTGAGACACCCACAGACAATTATACATTAACCAATCATACATAGATTACAACCCACACATCTCCTCCCCTCAGCCTGCAAGATAATATAATTATTAGAACAATTTTCACACAGTTTTCCACCGATTTTTAGATGTACCCCAAATACATGACCTACACCCCTAACTGATACATCCCCTGATAGCCCTGATCTGGGTGAGCAACATACTTAAAAATCACCCAGATCGGATCAGGGGTTCGGGAATTTTATGGAGGTGTTCGTTTGACCGACCACACACGAGACAATAGCCAAAAGTAGTTCCATGTATTCTGGCCTTGCGGTCGGTCTCTGTTTGTGGGGTAAAAAGCATGAAAATACTATACAGAATGGTCTTGGCTTGGATTCGTATGAATCCCCTGGTTCGTGGTCATCCTTCTACCGAACGCTGGGCTGTTCGTATGTTTATTCACGAATGGGTAGAAGTTTAGAGGTCTCTGCGATTTTCGCCTGGTCGAGTGTCCGATTTGAGTTCCAGACACTCGATTACCAAACACAGCTGGGCGTTCGTATGGCAAGATGGCTGCTGCTACGTGTTCATATGTCGAACGGCGCCCACCCAGGGAACACACAGTACATTCGTATAACTGGCAATTAGGCTGGGGTTAATACCGTTGAGGGAGGTAAATTAGAGACACATTTCTCTCTGAGGTGGTCTGGTTGTTCGGTAGTTTGTTCGTATGTCGAACGGAGATATTCCACTGAGTACCCATTGGGTTTTTACTGAACAACCAGAAGAATGCTTCATTCAATACATTGTATACAAAAGATAAAAGATAGGGAAATAACATTGCAACAAGAATAATTGGGGACAGCCCAACACAATCCGCTACACTATTAAACATTAAAAACTAGCGACTGGGCAGCTTTTGCCACCAGGCCACTAGAAAGGCCCCATCTGTTAAATAACAGGGAGGGCTGTTATAAATATTCATGGTGAGGACCTAGCGTTCATGGGGGAGGACCCACATATTTCCCTGTAGGAGGTTGTAGCGGAACCAGCCTCGCCACTGGGCATTGGAGAAGACTGATTGCCAGCCTTCTACCATGTGACTATGGCCCCTGGGATGTATTGCCTGCTCTCCTGTACTGCTGAGGATTGCTGCCAACTAGGTGGATTTGGCGATGGAGCTTGTGATGGGGCTTATTGACTGTATACCACCGGAAGCATTGAGTTTAGTTCCTCCTCCACAGCAACCAAGCCAGTTATCAGGGGACCTTGGTACTGTACCACATACGTCCCAACCAGAGATGGAAGACCTTATTGACTTGTCCTGGGAAGACACCCAGCTGGCAGGTGGAGATGGGACCAAGGTCTCTCTACCGGCCCTACAGGGATGCTGGGCAGTCTGCCCAGATCCCCAGCAGCAGTATGTATCCCAGGAAGCTGAAGGTGTCGTCCTTCCTCCCCAGTGGCAGTGTGTGTCCTTAGGAGAGGAGACAGTTGTTCTCTCTCCCCAGCAGTCCAGTGAGTTACATGGAGACGAAGGTGCCGTCCTTCCTCCCCAGTGGCAGTGTGTGTTACAGGGAGCTGAAGGTGTTGTCCTTCCTCCTCAGCGGCAGTGTGTGTCCTTAGGAGAGGAGACAGTTGGTCCCTCTCCCCAGCAGTCCAGTGAGTCCCAGGGCACTGAAGGTACCATCCTTCCTCCCCAGCGGCAGTGTGTGTCCTTAGGAGAGGAGACAGTTGGTCCCTCTCCCCAGCAGTCCAATGAATTACAGGGAGACAAAGGTGCCGTCCTTCCTCCCCAGCGGCAGTGTGAGTTCTTGGGAGAGGAGACAGTTGGTCCCTCTCCCCAGCAGTCAACCGAGTCCCAGGGAGCCAAAGGTGCCGTCTTTCCTCCCCAGCAGCAGTGTGTCCGGCAGGGAGCAGGGACAGTCGGTCTCGCTCCCCAGCAGCGGGACAATATATTGAAAGGGGAGACACCCTCTCCAACAGCAGAGAGAGTGCCAGGGAGAGGAGCTTGTTATCCCCTCTCCCCAGTGGCTGAAAGTATGTATGGGAGAGGAGCTTGTTACCCTCTCTCCCCAGCGGCAGTTTAGCCCACCAAGGGGAGACAGTAAGCTCCACAACAGTGCAGATGGGACCGTGATCTTTGCACATGCACCACCGGGGGTAGGGACAGTCAGTCCTGTCCCCCAGCAGCAGGGCTGTGTGTCCAAAGGGGAGACAGTCAGTCCCCCCCTCCAGCAGCAGGACTATGTAACCAAAGGGGAGACAGTCGGTCTCCCCATCCAGCAGCAGCCCCAGATCCCGAGAGAGGAGCTTACCAACTCTTCTTTTCAGCATGGCTCCAACCAGGCTACTTCCGTGGTAGCGCTGGCACCAGGGCAGAGTACCACGGGTCTCTGCCCACTCAGCAACCCACCAAGGCAGCCTATCACTACCCCACACAGCCGTGGTGAGGCACCTGGACATGGACGAGCTAATCTTTTACCCATGTGTAGTAACCATGTATTGTGGGTGGGCTGTATTACTGTTTGCGCTGTGTGGGTGGGTTGCTGGACTAACCAGGGCACTGACCGGCAGGAGGTCAGATACCCTGTTAGTCTGTTTGGAAAAGGGGAGAAATGTGGTGGAACCAGCCTCGCCACTGGGCATTGGAGAAGACTTATTGCCAGCCTCCTACCATGTGACTATGGCCCTTGGGATGTATTGCCTGCTCTCCTGTACTGCTGAGGATTGCTACCAACTAGGTGGATTTGGCTATGGAGCTTGTGGAGTGCCCTCTGTTGGTAGCAACAGTAATATGCACTACCTGAATAGCAAGACTGGTAATTTGCATATTCGGGTAGATTTGCATATCACTTCTTCTGCATGCAGGAGAGACATTTTGTGTTAATTATGGTCTTTCCCACCCATTTATAAATATGTAATTATGTTATACTAAGTTACTGTATGTTGCCTGCTATGATTTGACTGTTTGTAATTTTATTGAGTATTCACAGCAATGTTAATGTAATGACCATATGGGCTAGTCCCAAGTAAAATAAAGTTTTAGACAGTTCTACTTCACCCTCAATTTGGAGTCCTGTCTCTTATTGGGGGAATCTGCTACAAGGGATTGCTATGCTCTGCATATTCCCTTGCTATAATCACTCCTAAGCTCTTTTAAGAGCTGGTTCCTGCTTCGCTCTGAAGGAAGAGAGGTTTGGCTTGTGGTGTCGGCTAGAGTGCTTGGAATCCTCAAGAAGCGTTAGAAGCATCCATCAACGGAGGTACTCAGTCGGGGTGCCAGTTGATCCGTTACAGAGGTGAATTTAATGTTCAATTGCCAGATGTGTCTATGCTCATAACTATATTTTTTTTTTTACCAGTTGAGAGGGGTGTGGCCAGTGCCCTTCTCCCCTCCCACCCTTATCATACCCCTTTATCCATGTACAGTGTATGTCAATAGTTGTGTAGTCTTTGTATATAGGAGTTATTAAATTAATAATTTAAAACAAATATGATTCCCCCTTCCCTGTTATTACCTTGCAGGGAGGTGGGCATGCTTAACTCTGATTATCCAGTATGCTGAGAATCTGGTTGGCGCATCCACCGGGTAATTGTTGTATTGACTGTGCGTGATATATATATGTATTGGATGTGTGATATGTGTGCTGATATGAAGAGCAGAGGTTGTGTACTGGTAGGTGGGGAGCAGGAGGCATAGTGGAGGTGTATTGGTAGCTGAGGGAGAGGGGGCACAGTGGGGGTAGGTGGGGGAGCATAGGTAGTGGTAGGTGGGGAGCAGGGGGATCAGTGGAGGAGGGTGGGGGAGCAGCGGTAGTGTAGTGGTAGCTGGCGGAGCAGAAGGCACAGTGGGTAGCTTGGGGAGCAGAAGGCACAGTGGGTAGCTGGGGGAGCAGGAGGCACAGTGGGTAGCTGGGGGAGCAGGGGGCACAGTGGGGATAGCTGGTGGGGCAGTGTAGTGGTAGCTGGGGAAGCAAGGGGCACAGTTGTGGTAGTTGGTGGGGCAGTGTAGTGGTAGCTGGTGGAGCATGGGGGCACAGTGGTGGTGCATGGGGCACAGTGGGTAGCTGAGGGAGAGGGGGCACAGTGGGGGTAGCTGGTGGGGCAGTGTAGTGGTAGTTGGGGGAGCAGGGGGCACAGTGGTGGTAGCTGGGGGAGCAGGGGCACAGTAGTGGTAGGTGGGGGAGCATTGTTAGTTGGGAAGAGGGGGAACAGTGTCAGTAGCTGGGGGAGAGAGGGCACAGTGTCAATAGCTGAGGAAGCAAGGGGCACAGTGGGTAAGTGGAGGAGCAGGAGCACAGTAGGTAGCTGGGGCACAGTTGGGCTTGGCGGGGGGCCAGGGGGCACAGTTGGGCTAGGTGGGGAGGGCAGGAACTGCTTCCTCTAACTTACTAGGCAGAGGGTTCACTTGCAGTGTAGCTCCACCTCGCTTGCAGTGTAGCTCCGCCTCTGATTTGCCCTCACTGATAGACCCAAGTGGGGTCTATCAGTGAGGGCAGAGTTAAGAGGCAGGGAGGGCCTGTTTGCCAGCCTCCTGCCCTATGATTATGGCCCCTGTAATAGACTTTGGTTAAAGATACTGTGCCTTTTGGACTTGTACAGTAATACTTCGGACTCTCGAAGCGGTTCGAAGCAGCACTTCGAACATGTGGTGGCCATCTTAAGCCGCGAGCAGTGGGAAATGGAGTGCTGTCTCGCTATAAAGACAAGGTAATTAAAATTGATAAAAGGAATGGAGCATTTTAGTTACAAAGAAAGGTTAAAAAAGTAAAATCTCTTTAGTTTGGAAAAACAGCACCTCAGAGGAGATATAACATTATACAAATATGTTCGGGGCCATTATCTTAAAATCTATTCATAAATAGGGCTATATATAGGTATATAGGACATGAGGTCACACATTTAGGCTGGAAGAAAGGAGATTTCATCTAAGGCAAAGAAAGGTTTTTTACAGTAAGAGCAATAAGGATATGGAATTCTCTGCCTGAAGAGGTGGTTTTATCAGAGTCCATACAGATGTTTAAACTGAAATTGGATAAATACTTGCAAAATCATAACATACAGTGATATAATTTCTAATTAGTGGGGTAATAGCTGCTTGATCCAAGGAGACATCTGACTGCTATTTTGGGGTCAAGAAGGAATTTTTTCCTAGTTTGTTGCAAAATTGTTTTTTTACCTTCTTTTGGATCAACAGCAAAAACATATGTGAGAAAGCCTGAACTCGATGGACGCAAGTCTCATGTAATTAATAAAATTAACACTTAACAGTAACTCAATATGAAAATAAAATAAAAATACTCTGAACATGTGCCAGATGGTGTCTTAGAGTCCCGTGGCCCTACATCCAGATGGCTTGAACCTGCTCAGAAGTGTCCCTGTGTCGGCAATGGAGCGGGGCACAAATGTGACTATGTTGGGGAAGTCCCAGGAGCAGTTAGAAGTAGGGTTATTAGGGTCTGGTTTATTCAGTCCTAGTTTGCCGAGGAAGGAACCGGACTCTTCTGTCGAAGTCAGTAGGAAGGTGGTCGCTCCCTTGGTGACTGTAAGCATAGTTGGCCCCCATCGGAATTTGACTCCAGCCTCTCTGAGGGTTGTGGTGACACGCTGGAAGGACTATCTCCAGGTCAGAGTAGCTTTGCGAAGGTCTTGCAGGAATGTGAGCTGCATGCCCTCAAATTGGTAAGGGCTCCTCTTGTCAAACAGATAAGTTTAAGTCCATATTAACACAACTACATTCAAATGCCAACACTTAACACATATCTACCCTTTGATTTCACACATATACTCCATAAATAAACATGCTTACATTGCTGCAGAATATGTTGGCTCTTTATAAATGCCAGTAAAAATAAATGCCTTCAAACACACACAAACTGCTTACAAGTAAAATCCTGCATGGATGAGCAGTAGATCCCATATCATGGGATATATACTATCGATGGGAATCTATATTTTGGCTACCTTTGTGCTACCGGGTCCCAAAATAATTTTTCACCAGGGTCCTCTCTGCCAGTTCCGCCATTGGTGTATTTAAGTTTTACACAATTTTGTTTCTTTTTGTTTCCCATATATTAGGGGAGTGTGCACTTTATATTGGTTGTTTTAGTGTTTAGGAAGGCTGTGCAAGTCACATGCAGAGATATGTGACTAGAATGCATAAGCAGTGATTTAACTCCTTACTGGCAGAGAATTAAGCAGTAAGACTGCATGGAACATGACCCATACATCTAAACTGCTTAATTAAATTAATGTTGTGGACAAAAATATTAACCCAATCCATGTTAGTAAAATGCCTATTTACTCAGTATAACTACAATCAGCATTATTCAACTTTCTATGTGATTTACCTAAAATGGCCGCTAGGGAGTTTCTCTTTGACATCGCCTAATACCCTCATTAACAAGATGGCGCTGGAATCTGGGGGAGACTTCCAAGACCAGTGACATCACACCCGGTAGGAAGAGCACTAAATGAACCACTTAACACCTAACCAATTATTGATGTATTATTCCATGTTATCTCTGACAATGCATATGATGTAATATTGCTTTATAAGGGACATGCCGTCCCCTCAGAATAAACATTCCTCATGGTTTTTCATTAACCCGAAACCTGTGTCTGGTGTGAATTACTTTAGGAGCATGCACACATTACTTCTTAATTTGGCCGGGGGCAGATACGCAAGATAATCAATTTATTAACCCCTTAAGGACTGGACTGTTTTTGCGATGTTGTACATTTGCGACCAGGAATATTTTTACACTTTTGTGGTGTTTGTGTTTGGCTGTAATTTTCCGCTTTCTCATTTACTGTTCCCATACAAATTATATATTGTTTTTTTCAGGACAAAAGGGGCTTTCTTTACATACCATTATTTATATAATCTCATGTATTTTAATTTAAAAAAAATAAAAAAATCTGATGAAAAATTGAAAAAAATACATGTTTTTTGACTTTTACTTGAAAAATCTTTTACTCATCTACAAAAGCGAATGAAAAAAACTGCTAAATAGATTCAAAATTTTGTCCTGAGTTTAAAAATACCTAAGTGTTTACGTGCTTTTTTGCTTTTTTTTGCATGTTATAGGACTATAGGTACAAGTAGGATATTGCGGTTTCAAAACATACATTTTTAAAATTTATCAATAGTGACATTGTAACACTATTATCTGTCATAAATCTCTGAATAACACCCCACATGTACATATTTTTTTTAAGTAGACAACCCAGGGTATTCAATATGGGGTATGTCCAGTCTTTTTTAGTAGCCACTTAGTCGAAAACACTGGCCAAAGTAAGCATTCATATTTGTTTGTGTGTGAAAAAAGTAAAAAAACTAAATTGAACGCTAATTTTGGCCAGTGTTTGTGACCAAGTGGTTACTAAAAAAGACTGGACATACCCCATTTGCAATACCTTGGGTTGTCTTCTTTTGCAAATGGTATGCCATCATGGGGGTAATTCTCATTCCTGGGCTACCATACGCTCTCAAAGGCAACGTAACCAACCTGGCCATTTTCAATGTAAAATATTTGACCCATATATTTGACCTTGTAACTTTCAAAAATGCTATAAAACCTGTACATGGGGGGTACTGTTTTACTCGGGAGACATCGCTGAACACAAATATTAGTGTTTAAAAACTGGAAAACGTATCACAACAATTATATCATCAGTAAAAGTGCTGTTTGTGTGTGAAAAATGCAAAAAAAGTAACTTTCACTGACAATATCATCGCTGTGATATGTTTTACTGTTGTGAATCACTAATATTTGTGTTCAGCGAAGTCTCCCGAGTAAAACAGTACCCCCCATGTACAGGTTTTAGGGTGTCGTAGAACGTTACAGGGTAAAATACAGTGCTAGCAAATTAAATTCTCTGGAATTTCGGCCTGGGTTGGCAGGCAGGTCCCTCAAATTGCAATCAATAAAATTACTGAATTATGTAAAAATATTACATAAATACGCACGTAGAATTTAAATATATATGCATATTTATATATTTGAAGTCTACGTGTATATTTATATAATTATTTATGTAATTTTGTATATGGACATATGTATATTTCTTATTATTTTTATTTATTTTTATATACATAGATATATATACAAATTCATTCTAAGTGTATTTTGATATATAATATATATATATATTAATTTTAAAATACAGTTAGAATAAAATTTCATATAGATATATAATTTTTTTTACATTTTTATTATTATTTTAAAAAAATTATTTAATTTAAATTACTTATTTATATTTTATAATAATATATATATACAATATATATAGTTATTATATATATTATATATATACGTGTGTAATTTAATTATAAGTGTATTTTTATATTAATATAAGTACATATTAATATAAAAATACACTTAGTATGACATTATATATATATGATATATAGACATATATTATATAGATATAATATATGTCTATATATCATATATACACATATATAATTATTTTTTTTTTTTAATTAACACTAACTTTATTTTTTTTTTCTGATTTTACACAAGCAGGGAGACTGCCTGTCAGCACAGACAGTCCCCCTGCAGGCAGACACATGGACACCTATTGTGACCATGTGATCGCTGTGTTAAGCGATCACATGGCCACAGGGGTCCTAATCTGCCGTGGGGAGACTGTCTGGGCTGCAGGCAGTCTCCCCACAACCGGAGGAACACTGATCGCCGCCGGGGGAACGACGGCGATCAGGTAAGTACCCCCAGACCGTTAGGACGGTTCAGGACCGTCAACGGTCGGCAAGGCAAAAATGCCGATGACGGTCCTGAACCGTCCTCGGTCCTTAAGGGGTTAATTGATTCCACATCAGTTAAACTACCCAAATTGAAAGCATAATTGACTTTTTCTAATTTAGCTATATTGGCCTAATTGTTTAAATTCACCGGCAATTCTCACTTCTCAATTCTCAATAACTCTGAAAAAGTTAGAAAACCATCAAAACATCTAGCTAATTTTTTGTCTCGAAATTATCTAAATATAATTACAATAATATAATAATAATAAGGTGCATATGGTTTCACAAACTCCACTAATTCATAGCAGGCACATGCTTCACTGGATGAAATATTAAGAATCACAATTTGTTTGCACCAAAAATGATTTCTTTTTAAAAAATAACCACATGCACCTATAGTAGTATAAAAGCTACCAACAACAAGACAAATTTATAAACAGGGTGTCCTAGGCTACCCAAATCATATTTGATTAAACACCCACGAAGAAAAATTGAGCAAAAATATCTATGGGCTCAAAGTATGATTGTATTAGTCTCTGCAGTAATGTGATTCTGATATCAGACAAAGGCAGAACTTAGAAATAGTTGAGGGGCAGATTTTTTGATTGGGTAACTAAAATAATAGATCAGGGTGGTGCAGTAGACATTGCTTACCTAGCAGGGCCAGACTGGCCCACTGGGATCGTGGGAAATTTCACGGTGGGCCCCTGCACCTGGGGCTGGGCTGAAAGCCCTATTCATCACTGGTTAGGGTCCTGTAATCCCGGCTGGGATTTTAAATAAATAAATATATATATATTGCGGTGGGGCTTAGCGTGTGGCGGGGCTTATTGTGCATGGGAAGCAGGAAGGAGTCCCTGCTTCCCCAACAACCAGTCTCCAGGAGCTCCAAGGGATGTGGAGGTAAAAAGTAGGTCAGTGTGTGTGTCTGCCTGTGTGTGTGCATCTGCTAGTGAGTGAGCTTCTGTGTGTGTGCGTGCGCATCTGCTAGTGAGGGAGCGTGTTTGTGTGTGTCATTGAGATTGTCTGTCAATGAGCCTATTTGTATGCATCAGTAAGATTGTCTGTGTCTGCATGTGAGTATGCTTTACTGTAATTATTTAATTACCCTGAAAAGGACTAATATTTTGAATTTGAAAAAATATATACCAATAAAATATATATATATATATATATATGTGTGTGTGTGTGTATGTGTGTGTGTGTGTGTGTGTGTGTGTGTGTGTATATATATATATATATATATGTATATATATATATATATATGTATATCTCTATCTCACACACTACATAGCACAATGACTTATGGGGCTGGCATTGATTTTTTCCAGGGCTGCTTCGTATCCCCAGTCGTATCCCCAGTCCAGCCCTGTTACCTAGATTTCAGTAAGGCTTTTGACACTGTTGCACATAGAAGGCTTATCAATAAACTGCAATCTTTAGGTTTGGATTCCAATATTATTGAATGGGTAAGGCAGTGGCTGAGTGACAGGCAGCAGAGGGTTGTAGTCAATGTAATATATTCGAAGCATTGTGTTGGGGGCTCCAACACAAAGACGCAAACCAATAAGAACAGTGATTAAATGCACGACACTCGCCTAACAAACATACAATTCCTCCTCTCTGCCTGGGAGATAATTGAGTCAGATACTGTAACAATTCTATTATCTCCAGGAATAAAAAACACATTTTCTAAAACCCCACAAATGTTACATCCCCTGATAGCCCTGATCTGGGTGACCAGCATAGCCAAAAATCACCTAGATCAGTTCAGGGGTTCAGAAATCTTATGGAAGTCATAGTTTTTACCAACCATAGGCATGGTCCCATAGCCGAAAACAGTTCCATAGAACTAAGTGCCGCTGGAGGACCGACCGGGAACTGCAAGGTTTTCATGCCGAAAATAGTTCCAGGACATTCGTGGCTATGTCCCCCCTGAAGTCTATTTGCGGCTGTGGTCCATGCGAACAAGATGGCCACCACCTCGTGGAATTGCGGCCACCCAGACGAACACTTAGACCACTGCGGTTGGAATTGCAACAATGTATCAATTAAGCTTAACAAGCTCCAGGGTGGTCTCTGGTTCATGCAGCTGCTAAGTTACCGAAACATATAATTCAAATAGACAAACTGAGACTTTTATATCACAGTCTACAGGGTCCACAGTCTGTGGGCAGGAGGCTGGCAAACAGGCTCCTCCAGGAGCTCGTGGCAAACTCACTTGGAGAGGGGAGTTTGTCATATATCTTCCTCCTCCCGGGGAGACAATCCAGACCCCAGACCTCCAATCGGTCTGGGTCTGTGATAGTCTGCTGGCCTTTCCCAAAAGGCATAGTTTTACACATGGCCTCTGGCCACAAGTGTCCATTTGTACATCCAGTGTCCTGCGGGGAATCAACCTGGATGCACTCCCCCCTGGTTGGATCAAGATGTCGCTGGGGACAGAGGGCACAGTTTTTCTCAACCATGCCTGGTGGGCAGACCAGCGGCGCTCTGCCCCATAGCCAACGGTTCAGCTGGGTGGATTACATGTTAATCAGGCCCCAAAACAAAGGGGTACGTAGGGCAGAGGCGAGCGGCGTTCTGCCCTGTAGCCAGCGTTACAGCTGGGGTGGCCTGTGTAACTGCAGGCCCTGGATAAAGGGGAAAAGGGTGGGCAAAGGCCTACTGCACTCTTCCCTGGTGCCAGCGCTTCTGCAGGGCAGACTGGTACGTAGTCCTGCCCTGTAACAAGGTGGCAGGTAGGGCAGAGGCCAGTGGCACTCTGCCCTGCTGCCAGCTCTTCTGCTGG